TATTCTGTTTTGTTTATTTCAGCTTAACTTAATCAATCAGTAGTTTTATTAATACTAATCAAAAGGGAACACTTGTTTTCATAAGACTACAAGTCTTAAGAATTGAAGTTTATTTATACAAATAATTTAAATAAACCATAAACATCTTAAGCTTTCATGACAAAAAAAAATTATAATAAGTTGAATTATCGAATTATCCTACATAGATTTAGTACCTATGTAAAAGCTATAACTATAAGCCTAAGTAACAAATGGTATGTGTTATTTTCAGATAGTCTAAGCATTATTTTTAACCTTTCCACAGACCTAACGTCACATCACTAACAGCCAATTTCCACATGTGTTCTGTTCCTGACATTTCATCTGATCTTTAGCGTGTTTACTTCATATTTAGGTTCCAAATACAATCAGATATAGTATTTAATATCAGGTACATTGGTACATCAATTTACATATGTCTGATAATTAAGATAAGACTTTAATTGAATACGTTCTTAATTATAGAAAAGATCTTTATTCCAAAAAATGTATTTTAAAATTGATTAAGTGAAACTACTGCTCCAACCCGGCCAATTAGTAATGGTGTTTTGTAGGGTTTGAACTGGGGACGCCTGGCCTGTAGTTTCAAGCTGTAAATAGACCACTTATACTTGGAAATAAAAATACCACTCTTACCTTTTTATTATTTATATACCTACTGATTTAATTTTTTTTCGCACAAGCTATTCCATCTTTTAAGAGGATAATTTAACGTAACAAAGGTTCAATATTAATTAATACAGGGTAATAAACTCAAGGAATGTAGTATGTAGCCTAATAAAAATGTTTTTTCAACAAACGTATTTGAGTTAACTGCTCCGTCAGTCAGTGCATTAGTTTATATTATAAATCAGGAGGGTTATTTATGCATAAAAATGATCAATGGTACAATGGAATACGTTCAATGGATCAAAGACATCATGATTGTATGCTATTTGTATTTCTCAAGAACGTTATAACGTTAAATAATATATTAATTCACATGTATATTAATTTTTACGCTATAGTATAACATGTCCCATGTTAACATGATCTCAGTGGTTGGTTTGATTTCTCAGTAGTTCTGAGTAACTTTGAAATGTCATTATGTTAGCTAATATTTAGATATCGAGACTATGCCATCATGATATCAAAAATTGATGCAGTAGAAAGACCGCCATCTTGCCATTACACACATGCATACCAACAGCAACAGAAAAGTCTATACAATTATGTATTTTAGACTTAATTGTTGTATTTCGTATTTTTGTGTTTATTATTAGTGACCCATTAGTTTTGTTGAGGTTCCTACTAAACATTTTTACATTAATTGATTATGTATTCATCTTTTTGTTATATGTAAGAGTTTAACAAACAAAATATCTAACTATTAAAACACCATTTGCCAACTTGACATAGTTTAAGCTAAAGGAAATAATAGTTTACAGCTAAATGATTTTAATACAACGTTTTATAGGATGATTATTTTCTAGATGAAAGATGAAAGAGTTTTCGTGTTGTGAAAGGCAATTTTCTTCCTCAAGGCATAAGCTATGAAAACAAACACAGGTTTTTTATTTCCTGTATTGTTGTTAACATCCAATAGTCACACAAATAAACAGTACTTTTAATTAAACAATGATTATTAGTTTCATTCATCAGTGATTATTAATAATCGTGCTATTAAAATTCCAGAAAATTGCTAAATAATACAACCATTTTAAATAATGATCTTAGTTAAAATCTGTTCAAAACATTTTGAGATGTTTCGACAAAATTACTAAGTTTCGAAACCCTATAATTTCAGTAATGATGATTTTACGCTTGTTAGGAGAAATGAAAGCAGTTTATAACGAGAGAAATTATTCTCTTTGAAACGAGACACTCGTTGTTATTCTCAGACAGTTTCAGAAACAATTAGACAAATGGAACTGCAACCACTAATTAAGCTGTAACTTCATAAAAATGTATATGAAAAACAATGTTTAGTTTAAGTAAAAAATATTTAGACTTAAGTTATGTTTTTGGATCCTTTTAGATTCAAACATTTTGTAGATTCAGTGATGTTGCAATTAATCTAATACTTGTGTGCTAAAAGGATTTCCTTCAAACAAAAACTATCTACTATTAGTATGTAATGTAGATGAAATAAACAATATCAGTCTTACACATACTTTCTTCCATTAGCTTTTTAACAACCCTTATCATAGGAAAGCGGTAGGAGTAACAATGATATTTTTGAGGGGGGAATCACAAAAGTTGCAGCAGCTTTTAAGCTGTAATTTTTAAAGCAATGGGGGTTGTACCAAAGTGTAGGGGAATAGCCAAGGTACTTGTGCTACAACATTAAGATAAGACAACATAAAATCTGCTAGAAACTAAATTTCTTCTCCAATAAGTTTGGATCACTTTGCCTAAAACTTACCGAGTGTAAGTTGGACCGGACACAATAATTAGTGACTGTATATCAAGAACAATTCCATTTGAGTACCATGTTTTCAAAGCACTATAATATGTTTAATACACTGTCTCAAAACCAATTTATTAACACAATTACAAGTGTATATTTATCACTGTCTATGATTAGTTAAAGTAAATTTGTGAGTTTCCAAACAACAATTAATAAACGAGAGAGTTGCAGAATGGACTGCCACAGAGGTGACAGATTGTTGGAGATGGCAGTTGATAAATTCTGTTCTGCGAATTTCATTTGTTATGTGCTTTCACATTATTAATGTTCACTCCTCACCACAATGCTTTGAAGGTTGTGAGATCTCAACCAACTAATTTATACTTGTTAAATTACTACACGTTGTGTCATTGTATGCAGTTGAACAATGGCATAGTTGTAGAAACAAAAAGTTATAAGAATATTTTATAAGGGTTTCTTTTTTGCTTAATAACATATCCTAGGTAGGGAATTAAATTTTAAATTGTGTTAGCTATGTCGTTTGTGGACAGGTAATTCGTGTTACATTTATCTCATGTGAAGACAATTAAAAAGATCATGTTTACAAAGGATTACCTACAAAACATAACCCTAACGTCCCTAACAAAAGCAGTGCTAAATAAAAACACCAAAAAATCATGCTCACAAAATTCAAAATAGAGTATTCTACCAAAAGTCGCAAAGAATAATACATTCTGTCAACACAAATACTATTCTCAACAACTTATTAATAAACTGCTCATAAAATCATTTATCTTTGTCTTTCATCCTACACAGCACAAATTCAATGGCTTTTGTATTTTCTAATTCAAGAGAGTTTTTGATTAGAGAGAAAAGAGATAACGGACAATCATTCATCAAGAAAATTAGAATTTAATTGTGTTCATTTAGTGAATAATCCTTTGGCGAAAGAAATTCCAGTCAGAACTTAACGAAGGAAACTAATTTAGCAAAAGTCCTGAAGATATCACTTCATTAGTTCTGATTTCATATAATTAACTTTATTCAGCAATGGTATTTTAATCTTTGAGAATGAGAAGGTAAGTTTTTTAAGGGTAAAAGCGTAAATTTATTAAAAATGTAATTTATGTACCTCTTGAGGTCAAAGAAATTTATCTATTTTATGTTTCAAAATAGATTGGAGTCGAAGAGTTGCAAAATTAAATCTTCAGAAATTCTTTTGAAGTCTTTGAAATTGGTTTTGAAGTTTATACTTTTCACCTAGAGATAAAGGGTGAACAACCAAACTCAACCACCATTGGTATCTCAGAAACTATTAGATTTAGAGAGAACATTGAATGGAGAACTTAAACTAGTTTTTTCAATAAATTCTGTATTTCATTTTTGTGGATGCTTCTCAGATACTGCTAGCTTTACTACGCTATATATTTTTTCTCAGTTAGTTGTTAAATTATAATTATTTTGGATGAAAGAATATGGTTGAATCTCCAAAAACTATACTAGCCCTTGAAGACAGTTAGACGAGTGTAGCTTTTTACAACATAGATGAGGATAGATTTGGATATCCTTTTGTGAAATATTTTAATTAAATATGGACATGTCGTGTTAAAATACATAAGCAAAATCAGACATACAACCAATTACCTAAAAAAAACACATTGACAAAATATTACAAGAAAAATCCTGTTTCAAGTCTGCATAAATTAATAAACATGGAACATGTTGAAACAACAAAACAGCAGGGTCAACTTACATTGAAAAAGAGGGTTTGCTAACTGAAACTCATATACTCAGTTTATTCCCAATGAGTCAAAACTTTGTCAACTCGATTGTAAAAAGTGCTTATCCATGTCTCCATTGGGATACGTTGAACCTTTAGCAGAGTAAAGTTTTGTTAAGGTGTTGATAACGTTTGTTTGAAAAAAATATAATTTCACACAATTCTTAAGGTTAATTTTATATTTAGAATTAGAAATAATCCAGAAGAATAAAATATCATTTGGTACAAAAATCAGGAATGATAATCTTTATCAATGTCAATGCGTGATTCAAAATCTATGAAGTGTCTATAAATATAGTGTAAGACTAAATAACTTATGTAATCCCGTCACAGCTCAATAAAATATGTCAATTTACTAATTTAGGACATGTTTCGGTGTTAAAACACCATCGTCAGCTTCAGGTACATATTTAGAGTTGATCAGTAGTTAACATCGTCAGACGATAAACACAGTACGAAACGGCACAAATAAATACATAAAACAATTAAACATTTAAGAAACAGACCTGTTCTAATAAAAGATTACCAGCCGCACAGGTAGCAAAGGACAGACTAGCTAAAAATATAACTTATAAGCAAACACATCAAATTTATGTTATAATTAGTCATTTCTAGGCTGAATTTAAAATGCAAGTCATTGAAGTTTAAAGGAGACACATTGTTAAGCTTAAGGCTTATTTGAAAGCAGTTAGAGTTATCCTTAACTTGACCAAGAATTTTCTCCTATGACTTATTTTTTTATTCTAAAATTACAAATATAATCAATGGAAGTAAAAGAACAGAACAAAAATGTCAGTTTTTACAAAATATTTTATTGTTTTTACATTAAAATAATCACTATATTATACTGTACAACTATATAGAAACTCTTTGTCACAATATAAAAAGATTGCTGAGCCTCCGACCCCAACCAAAATATAAAATAACTTTAGAGTACACGACTTCACAACTTTTTGGCTGTTTTCAGATAATAACAACAATAATAAAATTAGTTTAAACATAACAAGGGGATTTAGATAAACTAAACCAGCGAGTCGTGCCCCACTTGACTATAACAACTAACAACAACAAGAGAAAGAAATGGATGGACGGAGGTATGGTCAAAAACTGATAAAAACAAAATTAATCTATAAACAACCATAAGGTTTTAGTTAAACATTTCTTAAAAACCAACAAACAAAATGATTAATTACAATTTCAAATATTGATATGGTTTTCACTTTAAGATTACAAACAACAACGTATAAAACAAGTTTAAGCAGCACCTTAGGATTAAGTGACTGGAATGTTGCATACTGGAATGTTTCTAGATAGGCTTTTCAGATAAAGTTCTTTCTTCACTGCAGTAGAGCAAATGTGTTAATAGCATCTATCAACGATTTCAACTATATTTTATACACCAAATTTACACAATACTATAAAAATATAAATATTGCAGTCATTAAATTTCATATTTATTTACAAAGTTGCAATAGTTCTACAAGCTACTATGTTTTTTGCCAAGTTTGAAGTTTGAATTCTTGTTTTATCTGAAAAGCCTGAATCAGATCGATAATCATAACAATCATTAATTTAAAGAGACAAGACAGATTATACTGTAATACTGTAAAAATACTTACAAATTCCTTAATAAAACTCTACTAATATACACAACAACTCTGCGAATGATTACAACAACCTACTGTACTGGAATGTACAATTTTCATACATAACAAAATTTTATTTTTACAATTCATTTTTTACTTTGTAAAACCATAGAAAAATATTGTGCCTAATAAGGCCAGCATTTAGAAGTCGTATCGGCTTTTGTCAGTTACATACACAACCCCTCTCAGGCTTCAATCAAAAGCTTTCTAAAATGGCATTTTTAAGTCTTCATGTCAGGAAATATAAGTCTATCGTTAATGTTTCACACAATATAGTCCAAGGCATCGCAGGCAATTCTGTGTACTTATATCGGGAAACATAAGAAGAAGTATTGCAATGTAAATATTTATACAATTTAGAAAACTAAAATATGATTTTGGAGGATATTTACCCATGTCAAATGGACTAAACCTTGCTAAAACAACACGTTCGGCTTTACAGCTACAAAAAACGTAACTGTAGTAAAAATTTGACACAGTCAAAACAGAACTGCCTGTCATCTGCCCCGCGATGTACCACTATCAACAGTCCGACTTGTCTTCCTCGACAAGTTTCTGCGTGTCCTTGCCCGAGTCGGAGGTGACGGGGTCAAGGTCCCGATGTCTGACCGTGATCTGCGGCGACGACCGCTGTATCACGCTGGACGGCGCAAGAACTGCAGACGCCGGCTCTATCACAGGCACCACCTGGGGAAGAAAAAAATTATTTAGCAAAATATCAAGGATCGATCTTTTGAAGTTCAAAGAACTACTTGTGTTCTAAAGTGTTTTACTCATCCGTAATTTTTGTTCACAGATGTCAAATTTTTACGATTAATAAATTTGTTTTATTAATTTATTTTTAAGCCACGGTTTAGTTGCTATCTAAAATCAGTGTTTATGTTAGACGGCATCATGAATCAAAAACCAAAACCTAATGACAATAATATTGAAAATATGTTGATTTCGGTTTTGAAAATGGGTTTTGTCAAGGAAACCGTAAGTGTACAGAGTTCAAAACTAATGGCAAAACATTGTGAGTTTTCTTGGACAAAAGTGTAACACTAACACTACCAACGTACTTGTCAACTTAGACTTAATAATACTATTTTTATGTTTCCCACATACCTTGCTAAGGTCGGCAGGCACCTCGTAAATGCCCCCCGTCCCGTCTAATGCGTCGTACATTGGGTTACTGAAGTCTCTGTTCTTACTACTAATGTCAGACAAGTTGTACTCTACGTCTAAAGGCTCCTGGAACAGAAAACATAGGTTGACTTACTGTCAAGGAAACTAACAGAGAATGAACAAACGAGAACATTGAGCGCTTATCATGTTTAAAATATGTCAACCTTTTGCTACTGTAAACACAAAGGAAAAGAAACATTGAGCAATTGAAAATACCTATATTCTGTTTTGGTTTGAGATTTGGAAAGCAAACCTAAATTCATTTTTCCTCCATTGAAAGGAATCAAACTGCAACATTTTAAAACTCATTTGAAACTATAGTGTCTAGTTGCATGAATAAATTCTACACTAAACAGGTCAACTGTGTTGGTGAAGAAGTCTTACGTTAGCATTTTATGTTTATTTATTTATAAATGAAGTTGCTAGATATCCCAGTGCTGTAAGCTTGAATACTTATCAGTAAAAAATATGAATTTAATAAACAAAATAATGTAATGCATAGGTTTATATAGTGTTTTGTTGGTCAAAAAGTTGTCAAATGAATACTTACAACTCCAGGTCCGTTGCTGGAGAACGTAGGAGAACCAAACTCAACGTTTGTTCCTTGTCTGAAAGATACGCTTTGGGAGTTGGCCAACCCTAAAACTGGTTTGCCACTGAAAAAAAAAACACCAAGTGGTTAGAATTTTGATTTTGATAACTCCATTGTATTCAAGAATGGAATAAACATAATTCCTCTTGAAAACATAAACAGTATTTTTAAACTCATGCGAAGCTTGAGCTTTTCATAGCTTATAGTGGTACAAGTGATTTTTTAAAGTTCAGTATAGGAAGTTAAGTTGACAGGGAAGAGGAAAATGCATACAGATGCAATTGCTATATTCCTTGGTAGTTAAGTTTCTTACTGTAGTTTACACAATTTGCACACATAATTTTTTTTCTAAAAATGTATACATTAGAACTCCAGCTATCTAAAATCCAACTATCAAAATTATTTATTATCTGGATTAGTTACAGAAAGAATGTTAAAACCCTAAAGCTATAGGAATGAGAATTGTTTTAATGAAAGCAGAAGTCATTATTGCAGCAAAATCCTGAATCCTGCGGTTGAGTAGACATCATTATCATCATCTCTAACAAGCAAAGCAAAATACTGGAAATCTCTCACGGTTAAGGTAGACATTATTATGGTCTTCTACGATCGTAGCAAAATCTTTAACATCCTTTACGGTCTTACAGACAAAAAGATGTGATCATTGTCCTTCGCAAAATCTTAAAATTTTCCATCACAAAATCTTTGCAGACGCTTAAAAAACCCCAAATTTTGATAAAAATTCAACAATCAAAATTGTTTACTGAATGTGGTACAAGCCCAATTGTATGGTTCCGATGGTTGGGATTCTACTGTACATTTATTATTGTTTTGAATTTTTAAAGGTTCAGACTCTTTCAGTTAGTTAATGTGCCCAAACTAGAGGTAATCCTATAGAGCTGTCACTATTGATACTCACAACGGCCTCTTGCGTATGACGTAGTACGCCACCCCTGCGGAGGCTAGTACTAGCAGGATGACGAAGGGGATGGCGAACACCCCCATGTGGCTGCCGCTGCCAGAGTGTGCCTTGACAGCGTACACCTCACAGTGATCTCCCAACACTTGCGGAGGACATCGGCACTTGAGGTCGCCCTTCATGTCCTCCTCGCAAACTCCGCCGTTCTGACACGGGCACACTCGGGGAAGCGGGAGTTCGGGCTCCGAAGCTGCAAATGAAGAAAGTTTGGGTCAAAAACCAGACAATAGTGGTAAAAAGGGGCATTTTCATTCTATTAAATTTTGGAAAAGCATTGTATCTTCTTTAGCAACTATTCAAATGGATTTATGTTTTACTAAGTTTTGTGTAAAATGTTTACAATATTGTTTTATGTACTCTCGTAAATCTTGACGGATTTGCTTATTTATTCAGCTTTGCTGTCTTGATCCATGTTTATCATTAAATAATCTATTGAATATATCCCTAACTACTTTTATTCTTACTCAAACGTAAAAGGTGATTCAATATGAATAAAAAATAAGATCTGTTGATGGTTTATGGACCTTTCAATATTTCCATATTCTTGTTTAATATCTCACCAATCTATCATTAACACATTCACTAACAGGTTAATTCATTGTATTGCTGATTAGATGGCATAAAAATATCCCAGTAACTGGTCATTGACATAGAGAATGTACAGTGTGAAATTAAGTATACCGTTCATACATATTTGTGCTTACACCTCAAAAGTAGGTTGGCAAGGATAAGCCTCCTAATAATTAAAAAAATACTTTCCTAGTTAGAATTATAATATTTGTCACTGCCTACCTGCGTCACAATACGTCTCTCCTCCCAGCCGAGGCACTGCGTTGTCCGGACAACTGCAGCGATGGCCTCCGGGCACGATCAGACACAGGTGAGAACACAACACGGAGCGACAAGGGTCGTCTACCGATCTGTTGTATCTGTCTGGGTGGTAAACTGCAACAAACAAAACTTGTTAGATACTACCATTGACTACAGAGAGTAGATGACATCAATGTCACATCTTAAAGTTGTAGCAGAGAGAAGTAAGGTACAGAGGAAACAATGGTACACTTAAGTGGTGTCTAGCACTATTTCTGGTGTCTAGGGCAAAGTACAACACCGCCGCTTCGCCCTCATGTACTACAACGCTCATGTAATAGGAATTTCCAATCAGTGCTTACCGCTCGGGCACTTCCTTGGTTGTCACAAGTATATTTACAGCACAACATACTAGAGCTTAAAGTGCATGGTTGTCGATGCATAAGCAAATTTGCATTCCTTTTGTACCTTGCTTCTCTAAGGTAATAATCAGTTTTAGAAACTAAATAAACATAGTTAAATTGAGCAAGGAGAGTTTGCTACTATTACTGATTTCTGTCGTATATATAGAATATTTCACCAAGCAAAACCTACAGGACAAATTATTGTGTAAAATATAGTATAATTTTAGGTTAAATCAATTATCACATCAAAACCAAAACCTAAAGTAGGGATGGACGGGTCCCGAAATTTCGGGAATTTTTCGGGAAAAAAATATTCCCGATTATCGGGACGGGATTACATTTGACTCGGGAATTTTTCGGGACGGGATTTGGTCCGATCGTCGGCGATTTTTCCGCTTCGCGAGTGCCGATAACGCCGTTATTGTGAGCGATAGGTCTGCGAACGCAGGAGACGAAGCCATTTCGACGATTACGACGTGACCGCGGAGTCATAACGACGATCGCGCCGTGGCCGCGATTATTGAACTGACGATCGCACCGTGACCGCGAGTCATAACGACGATCGGGCTGTGACCGCGGAGTCATACCGACGATCACGCCGTGACCGCGAGTCATAGCCTACCGACGATCGCCCTGTGACCGCGGAGTCCTACCGACGATTGCGCCGTGACCGCGAGTCATACCGCCGATCGCGCCGTGACCGCGAGTCATACCGACGATCGCGCCGTGACCGCGGAGTCCTACCGACGATCGCTCCGTGACCGCGAGTCATACCGACGATCACGCCGTGACCGCGGAGTCCTACGGACGATCACGACGTGACCGTGGAGTCCTACCGACGATCGCGCCGTGACCATGGAGTCATGCTGACGATCGAGCCGTGATCGCGAGTCATACCGACGATCATGCCGTGACCGCGAGTCATACCGACGATAACCCCGTGACCGCGGAGTCATGACGACGATCGCGCCGTGACCGCGAGTCATGACGACGATCACGCCGTGACCGCGAGTCATGACGACGATCACGCCGTGACCGCGAGTCATGACGACGATCGCGCCGTGACCGCGGAGTCATTCTGACGATCGAGCCGTGATCGCGAGTCATACCGACGATCATGCCGTGACCGCGAGTCATACCGACGATAACCCCGTGACCGCGGAGTCATACCGACGATCGCGCCGTGACCGCGAGTCATACCGACGATCGCGCCGTGACCGCGAGTCATGACGACGATCGCGCCGTGACCGCGAGTCATGACGACGATCGCGCCGTGACCGTGAGTCATACAGACGATCACCCCGTGACCGCGAGTCATACCGACGATCGCGCCGTGACCGCGGAGTCCTACCGACGATCGCTCCGTGACCGCGAGTCATACCGACGATCGCGCCGTGACCGCGGAGTCCTACGGACGATCACGACGTGACCGTGGAGTCCTACCGACGATCGCGCCGTGACCACCCCTATAAAAAAGTAATTTCTGGCCATATATGGCCATATCAAAATTCCATATATGGTTTTATAAAGCCATATATGGGTTTTGATGAGCATATATGGAAGCATACATGGCCAGATGTGGTTGTATCCATATATGGTGGTGTCCATATATGGCCATATATGTAGTATATATATGGAATTATTGTTCATATATGGCCATACATGTTTTCGATATATGAAATAATTGTTCTTATATGGCCATACATGTTTTCTATATATGAAATAATTGTTCATATATGGCCATACATGTTTTCTATATATGAAATAATTGTTCATATATGGCCATACATGTTTTCTATATATGAAATTATTGCCCATATATGGCCATACATGTTTTCTACATATGAAATTATTGTTCATATATGGCCATACATGTTTTTTATATATGAAAATATTGCCCATATATGGCCATAAATATCCTCCATATATGGAATTATGGTCTATATATGGTCATATATGACTCCCAGGTATGAAATTAAATTACTCATATATGGAATAATAATTTTCCATTTATGCTCATCTATAAATGAGTTTTTGACAATAACTGGAATTATTATAAGGGATTGTTGCCACTTTAGGATTATGTAACTCTCAAACTCCCAAACACTTCTTATAATATTAAAAATCTAAAGTTTATCAGTTTGTGTATTTTCTTGTTGCTCTCCAAGCACAAACTACTTAACTGATTGAGTTGATATGTGGTACAGTAAGGGGGCAGATAATATAGGCAATTCTCCTTTAAAGTAATTATTAGTAAAGAAATAAAATATCCAGATTTGAACCCTGATGACAAAATCCTGTACATACATCTATTGTACAATTTTATTATAACGCAACAAAATCTTAAAACTGACGTATAATTTTAAAATTGTAAGTGTAGTAGGCCTAAATAAGGAGAATATTATATTAATAATTAATTAATTGTACCTTTGCTATCAAACAGCCTCAAATATCAATGTCACGTAGTTAGGCTATATTAATAATAACATTCTTCAAATGACATAAAATGTCTATAAAATTTGAAAGAATAGTTGTCTACAGCTAGTAGATAGATTAGATGTTTATCATGTCATCCAAAAGTTTATGCTGCTACTTATTTGTCGAGAAAATAATAATACAGCAAACAAAAGCTGTTTCATTTGTTTCAAATTTTATACAAACACTTAACCTTGCAGAACAATTTGATAAAATGTTACGAATTTCTGTATCAAAAAGATTTTTTTTTTTAGTTTTGGGAAAAAAGGCCTGTATAGAGTGTTTTAATTAAAGAATTTTAAATCCATATCTCAGTACAAATATTTTCTGAATAGAATTTCTGAATCTGCAAGAACAATGGTACAATTTGTAGGACATTGATAATCATAGGAAATAAAAGTTAGACATTGGCCATTTTAAACCCTCTGCTACAACGCTTTTTCATCCCAAATACCATGATAACCGGTAAACATTTAGATCAAATTAAAAAGAAAATTTAACCTATCTTCCTCTTCCTTAATAAACACTGACTTAACCTAAATTAGGCTTACCTTTAACTCCTGTTGGGTTGACCAGATTTTTGGAAATAACAACAGGAATTCCTCGGCCAAACTTGTCTTGTTTGACTAACTCTCCGTTCTCCCTTGTTGTGAAGAATAGATGATTTTCAAAGATATCCAAAGATAAAGGATGATGAAGAGCTTCTGAAAAATCATAACTTTATGTTAGAAATTCCAAAATTCGCTTGATAATGGCGCGTTAACTACTTACAGTAGGATTTTGAAGTTTAACACCAGTTTTTATTACTACCTCTTTCAAAAAAAAAAAAAATTTAATTGAAACTATTTTCAAAAAGCAAACAACAATATACAGCTAACTACGGAGTTATAAAATACAGTATGAATTCCAGGTTTGATTTAACTTACTGTAATAATTCTTACAAAAAATGAAATAGTTGTATTTCATAAAAATACAAAGGGACACTTAGGAAATGTTGAACCTACAAAAGTATTAACAAGCGTAATTACATATTGATCCTCTGACAAAACTGTTCACTAACACCATTGAGTACACCAGATATAATACAGATCATAAGCCGATTTCCAGCTATCTATCTACAAGCATGACTGATTCACTAATCATTGCTGAATGATTAAACACATTGTTTATACAATCTGAATATGATTGGTATGAGCCCAAATATTACAGATAATTGAATTAACAACACACTTCAATCAAATAATATTGTTCTATTGTTAATGTGTAATGTTACATGTGATTCTGAGACCTGCTTTGTGAGTTGGAAGATGTTTCATATAGTTTTATTTTAATTGAGTTTTGTTTATTTATTTAATTTGGTCTGTTTTTATTTATCTTGTCTCCTGTTATTGCTTTAACAAATCTTTTTATAAGTTACTGAAATTTCAGGATGAAATTTTAAAACTGCTAGGAATAGTGAATCCAATATATAAATACATACATGCATAGTTTCTCTTTTATAGATATAGATTTGACAAGTTGCAAGCTTTGAGAATGTTGTCTTCACAAAAAAAAAAATGTAAGTTTCTTGCCAAACTTAATCGCTAGACTATTTGACAGAGGTATCTAAAAACTTATTATTGTCTTAACAAAATAAAATAATCCAAGGGCCAGAAACATGGATTTTGATAAATAATCTTTTGTTCTGATTAAAGGTGTACGTAACTAAGAACTACACAATTCAATACTAACCTCCTCTCAGTATGACCCTTCTGAAAGTTCCGTCTTGTCTGATAGTTTCGATGGTGTTCAACTTGGTATCAACCCAGTAGAGTGAGTGGTGTTCCAGTCCGGAGTCGATGGTCAGACCCGTCGGGTGTCGGACCTTGTCCAGAACCAAGGGTCTCCTCTTGGACCCGTCCATCCACCCGGACTCAATCTTGGGTACAGCTCCAGCATCAGCCCAGAACATGTGACCGGATTCCGGGTCAACAGCAATGGATGTCGGCTGGTCCAAACCTGCACAGATGTTTTATATTTAAATAAATGGTAGGTAAGTCACACTGTTATGAAACATTTTAGGGATTATTAGAATGTCCAGTGTAAATATTATAATGCAAGTTTGTATTGTGTTTGACCATAGTCAAACATAGCAAAAATCATTTTAATCCATTTTAGTAAAAAAAATTAAAAAAAGTTTGTGAGTCGTTACATCTCCTAAATTCAAGTCAATATCCTCTTTCCAATCAACAAACATTGTATACAAACCTATATCGATGAGAGATCGTCTGTAGCGACCGTCCTCTTTCGACACCATGACTCGACCTTTAGGCTTGGTTCCTGATTGGTCGGTTTCTGTCCAGTAGAGATTGTGGGAAACCCAGTCTACAGCTATACTTGTCAATTTAGAGTTTCCTGAAAAATACATCAAAATTATAAGATAACAATGAGATTTAATTTTGCCAGAAATATTTTGTACAAATTCAATCAACAACTTTATACTTTGTTTCTTGAATTCTATAGTAGTTTCTCAGAAATGTACAGTTAATTAATTTATTATAAAAATGGAAAGCTGCTGTCATAGTACCACTGACACTTTCATACAATCTAATGGGAAATATATTGATGTTGTTTTTACTCCTGGTTTAGTAGTTTCACAGCTGCTGTTTAAGACACATTCATTATTGCTTTTTCACTTACTGTGTAATGGCATAATACTGAGCAGGTAAATGAAACCAGTGTTCAATTTATATAATGATAGGAATTAAAACAAGAATGTATAAACGGTCTCGAGTCAAAAGCCAATTTGGTAATATCACGTTGGCGGACATTTTTCTCTCTCAAATTACGTAAGCACTAATTAACACTAATAATAAGCACTAATATTTATGTTACTCTTAATGTCAGTATGAAAGCCATTAAATGTCAAATAAATGGTCAAGCTTCACAGCCAAAAAGAAGCTAAATCTCTCTACCAATTCAATGCCAGAGAACGTAATACCTTTGCCAGTGAGAGGTTGTGAGAAGCCGGTCTTGACCTCCCCTGCACGAGCACCGACCATGTACGATCTCTTGATCTTCCTGTCCTTAGAGTCCACCCAGTAGACCATTTCTAGAGTCGGGTCAAAGTCTATCGCCTCAATGTGCTTCTCTCGACTGATAACGCCCATTTCTCGCTTCTTAGAGGTCTCGTAAGCTCGTATCTCCTCGCCGTTAGAAAACAACACTGATGCCTGAAACAGATGCATGAATATAAAAAAATTGAATGCAAAAAGGTGGTTTATATTTTAGGTAGGCCCGGGCCTACGTGGCTTGCTCTCTGGAGCCACCCCTGCTCCTAGACTCGGAAATAATAGAGGATGAATCACCAAATAATCCACAAAGATTAAATATTAGTTTCTTTGGGTCCAGTTCAATCGGCTTTAATGTTTTTATTTTATTATGAGAGAATTCAATCTGCAGATAAAACTAGCAATAGTATGTTGTTCTACTCACTTCAGGGTTGTTGGCACGACACACCCCACTGATGCTGTCTTGCAGAGTGAAGCCAGGCTGGCATGAACAGCTGAAGGTTCCATTGAGGTTTGTACAATGGTGTGAACACTTGTCTAGGTCTAGTTGACACTCGTCAAGATCTGAAAAGTTAGTCAAATTGATAGTTAAACAAGTTTAGCAAGAAGATGGGAGGGTGCAATAGACAGGTTCTAATATTTCACCAAGGCAATATGATGTTCTATTTCTCACATAGAGTAACAAATAATCAATATTGAATGTGTTATGTTGAAGTTTGGTTTCTTCTTTTCTTACAACAGTTACTGTATGCTGTGAGATTAGATTTTACCTATCCGAAAACTATAACAGTCCATGTGACATTTATTGATAAAAAAATATTAAAGCCTGCACCTATCACTTTTACCTTTTTCAAGATAACCCAAATACAACTAATGAGTTTATAACTATTTCAAACGTTTTTTGAACAATCTATGAACCAATGACTTTGGTAAGCATTGTACTGACCCATGCAACGTTTGCGGTTGTTGGGATCTATGACGTAGCCAGTGAAACAGCTGCAAATGTAACTCTTGGTGAGATTCTTGCAGAAATGTTCACAACCTCCAACAGAAGTGTTGCCGAAGGGGTTTACAGGCGGACAGAACTCATCATAGTCTGAAAACATTCACAAAGAGTTAGCCTGGAAACGATAATCAGGTTTGTGAGAAAATGATATTTAGGCCTACTCCCAAAAATTACATTACAAATAAACTAAAATATGTTAATTAACCCTGACAAGAAAAGTCAGATGCTTTCACATTAGGATTGTATTAAGAGGTTTTACAGATCCTAAAATTATAATTTACCTGTATACAGGGTGAATCAAAAGTCAAGACTCCCCCATCCAATATTTTTTAAATGCATATACAGAAATATCCTTATGGTAGTCGTTCAATCTTAGCAGGATGTTTAATTTCCAAAATCAAAAATTTCATCAAATCCTAGACAGGAAATTAAATAATCAACTTACGGCATCCTTTCTCATCAGAGCCGTCGCCGCAGTCGTCCACGTAGTTGCAGACGAAAGTATCCCTAACACAGTTAGTGTTGTCGCAACGGAACTCGCAGTGACTGAGAGGAACCATCGCGTGACACAATGTGTGGTTGTTTTCGTCGCTGGCGTCGCCACAGTTGTCAACTCCATTGCAGACAACGTCCATCGAGACACATCGCCCGTTCTCACACTGATAACGCCCTCGCCCGCTGCATGACACCGCTGTGGCTGTAAGTGAAAAAGTTTTTGTAGTTGTTTGATTTGAGGATAAAATAGAAAAAATAGACCTAAGAAAGAAATAGTACCTGTTTAAAAGATTAAGCAAACATTTCATATAACAATTTTTTTTTTATCTCGGACCTGACCCTGTTTTTAGTTAAGACAGGTGGTACAAGAAGATTAGCATTAACACATAGACCAATCTTAAGTTGGTAAGACAAAAAAACCATACATAAAATTGAAGTCAAAACTAGAAAAAAACCTCAAAGAGAACAATAATTAAGTGAAGAACTAACTAATTTTATACTCCAACTGCAATTGTTCTGTTGTATATGATCTGAAAAACTAATTACCAATGTATTGGTAAGTAAGTATACAGTGATAACATTGCACATGGCTAAATTTAAATTACTCGATAACCTATTTCAGATGTTTATTTATTGCCAACTAAGTTTTAAAATGACTTAAAGACAATTTATTTTACTTCTAAATACCACTTGAACGTTACCGCCAAAAATCAATCTTATTGATACAACTACTTACAACAAATGGCAGGATCTTCGTCAGAGCCATCACCGCAGTCGTCAATGCTGTCACATTTATCGTCTTTCTCTATGCAGATGCTGTTGTTGCACTCGAACTTGCTCTCTGGACAGTAACGACCGTTGGGGTATCTCGGTGGACAGTTCTTCTCGTCACTGAAGTCTCGGCAGTCTTTGTCTCCATCGCAGCGGAAATATGCAGCAATGCAGTGGCCGCTGTCACATTGGAATGTTCCGTTCTGCGACAAAAAACATGTGATAAATAATCCTATTTTATAAGCAATCAATCAATCATTTTTAAACTGATTATGAAGTAAGATCGATTAATCAAACATAATTAATCAAGGTTTATTTTAGTCGTTTAAGTCAACAGGCACATGTGGTAGAATAAAAATGTGAACGATAAAAATCCAACAATTTCTGTTTGATATGCACAGCCTGTTTGATGTGCCAGACTATTTCTAGAGTCACATTTAAGTCCTACACAATACAACATAGATAATACAACTAAAAACTGTACTGATTGATTTAAATGAAAACTTTATTAGTTATTTCTCGATTGAAATAAAGTAATAATGGTCGAAACTATAGTTGCCACAAGCAGCATATTGGATTACTGAATGCAGGTATTTAAACCATTATAAATAATAATGATCGTTCCTCATTTTTGTGCTTTTTTAAAAATAGAGATGAGTAAGTTTAGCATTTATTCTACAAAATGTATGATTATTGTGTTTCTAAATTCTAAATTAAAATTAAGGAGAGCATTTTTTCAACTAAATTAATAGTTCAAACAATAATTTGAACTCAAATACTTTGCATAAATTATTTAAAAAATCATATTTTGAGTTGAATTTCAATTAGAATGTTCCACATTACATTACTTTACATTATTATTTTACATTATCAGTACAAAAGTAATAAATTAAAAAAATAATAACTGACCTTGCACTGGAAGTCACCGCAGTTGAGCTCGTCACTTCCGTCGCCGCAGTCGTCGTCATGGTCGCACCGCCAGTGCGTAGGGATACATTTGCCGTTGTTGCACCTCAGTTCGCTCTCTGAGCATGCTCGGTACGACCCCTTGCACACTTCCTCTGCTTCGTCTGAGTAGTCTCCGCAGTCGTTCTCAAAGTCGCACAGCCAACGTCTGAGAAATTTGTTTGAATCAGATCCAGATGCTAATTGTATTTTAAATTATTGCATTTTAATTAGTTGAACCCAATTGGCTGTTGGGAGTCTTGCAGTTAATTTTCAATCAGGGCTAAAATTTTATTTCACATAAAAATATAAATCTGTTTTTCAAAAAATTAAAATTGTTATATAAAGTCAGTAGATTTTCATAAAATTGTTTTAAATAATTTGAGCACCTTACTCAAAAGTTCAGCAAAAATAATAAGGAATCAGGTAGGGTACCCTTGTAAAAGTACAGCATTACTACATGGTTTTACCAATTAGTATTGGTGGTGTAATACACTTTTCTAAAAAGTTGACAGCCCTCACCTTTAGGTAAAAATACTTTTCAAACTGTCATCTATATTAGTGTTCTAACTTAATAATTATGTTTTTGAAAAAAGATAAAAACTGAAGTATAAATATTTGGAATATCTAGTTTGATGTTTGATTCCAAAGAATAGTAAATGGATAATTACTTCCATTTAAGAGGTACAGTTTTTAAAGCCAATACTAAATAAATCGTTGCACCCCAAGGACCGCACTTTAATCCTTATCGGATTTATTTAGGTTTCCTTCTTACTTGGGTATGCAGCGATTATTCTTGCACTGGAAGTCTGTGTTTGTGTTGCACTTAGGACAATGTTGTGGAAGTTCGTCACTGTTATCTCTACAATCGTCCTTGCCATCGCAGAACAGCCACTTGGGAATACATCGGTAGTTGGTACGGCCAGGACAACGCTGCCATCCTGTGGTGCAGTTCTTCTGACTGTGGTAGGAACAAGAAATGTATCAAAGTACAGTATCAGGTTAAAGAATAGGGGGAAGCAAATGGGTCTTTTATGTGTGATGTAAAAATGTTGAACTTTTTCTACAAGTTTTCAATCTGTTGGTTTTGAACACTTTTTAGAGGTTAAAAATAGGAAAATTTATTTTTTGTACTATTTTTTTTTTTCAATATTGCACAGTTACAATGGTTTTAATCATCAGTGCAATTTCCAAAACCACAACCAGATTGAAGTCAACATAGTAAAACTTTACTGAGACTGCTATTTTAATTTAGGGTCTAGCGACAAAAATACAAACACTTTCTTGGATATTAAAAAACTCTTCTATCTACAAACAGTTGTTTGATGCACTCACCGACACATGTAGGCAGGCTCATCGGAGTCATCTCCGCAGTCGTTGTCAAAGTCGCAAACCCACAGTTTGGCGATGCAGCGTTTGTTCTTACAAGTGAATTCCGTTTCTGGATCACACTCTCGATGGTCTGGAACACAAATCATTACGATGCCATGATTTTGAAAAGAAACTTCCATAAGAGTAAACTAAACAAAAAGTAAGAAAACTGTTAGCTAGTAAACACTTGAAAAGTTTATAAAAATAACTCAATGTTAACTTACGACAAATATCAGGATCTTCGTCTGAACCGTCTTTACAGTCTGGGTCACCATCACATTTCCAGGCGTTTAAGATACAACGGCCGTTTGATCTACATTTGAACTCCAAGTCTGGGCAGGTAAGATTGCAGAACCTAAACACAAAAATACGAGTATAATCAATCATTAGTTATTTCCTTTAACTTTATAAATACAAATACGTAAAATCCAGTACTATGTCTAATATTTAATAGACATGCTTATTGTCTATCACTATCACCTAACATTATGTTTCAGTACAAAAATTGTTTTTACTTATCATAGCTTTTAAGACAGCACAATAACTTCAAATTCAGATTTATATATTTTCTGATGGTAGCCTAATGTTAGTAGTTAAAACTGTTATATCATGAACAAAACTTATGCTAACGCATGACATTTATTTTAAGAGTGTCCCCTGATTTGTATACAAAAATGTATTGTCATCAGCTTACCTTTCGTCAGAATTGTCACCACAATCGTTGTTTCCGTCACAGATATTTGCCGAAGGCGTACACTTGTCATTGTCGCACTGGAAGGTTCCAGGGCGACACTTACGAGGCGGACAAGTGGTCGGCTCGTCACTTCCGTCACGACAATCCTTCTCCCCATCACACCTGCGATGAACAAAACACTTAGTATGATAAAAATAAACTGTGTCATGCAAAGTGACTAAGAAATTATTAATGTTGGAAGGATTGATTAGGATTTCTTTCAGTTTCATGTCATATAAATACTAAAATAAATTAAGTGGAAACATATTCCTGTAAAACAAAAAATAAACAGATAAGGCTATGGTGAGTTGGAGTTCATATTTTTTTATCTAGTGTCACATTAAACTAATGAGTTAAATATGTTTGTGGAAAATATTTAAAAAAACAATCTACATCTGCCATAGCTATTTAAAAAATACTTTTTTATAGACATGGGCACTTTTTTGGAAGTTATATAACAATGATTGCCAAAACAATAATATGATGATATGGAAGAATTCAGTTTTGTTTTGTTTTTTAATACATGTTGCATAAATTAAAATAATAATAATAATACAGTAGAACCTCAATTACTCGAACCTTAATATCTCGAATTCCTCAATATCTCGATTTTTTTTAAATCCCCTTGAAATCCACATTAATTATAATGTTAAAAGTACCTTTATAAGTCAAAGTTTCTAAATACACAACCTCAATAAGTCGATTTTTAACAACTTTTGAACGGTAATATTCCACCTCTATAAGTCGAATTTTCCCGTCGTCGAGCCTCAGTAACTCGAAGTTTACCTTTATAAGTCGAAGTTCGCACGAATGCGCCTCAATAATTCGAAGTTTTGCCTTACAGTGCAAGTCAGTAGTGTTTTGATTCCTGTCGAGACGTGAAAATCCAACTTCCGGTGGTTGCTTCCTGTGTCTGTTTGGATACGTACTGTAGTCTGCCAGTTGTTGAGATAATTTTGTGCGCGTCGGACGTCATGTCGTCGGTTAAGCGTAAGTGCAAAACGTTGACACACGATGAAAAAAGAAGAGTTATTAAGGCAGTTGACGAAGGATTAAAGAAAAAAAGTGAAATCGCTAAGGAGTTCGGAATTCCGCCTAACACTTTATCAACAATTATGAAAAACCGGGAAAAGTATGAGGCTGAAGGTGGACTAACCAATAAGAAGAGATGTAAAAGCGGTGAGTTTAAAGACGTGGACGAATGTGTTTTAACGTGGTTGAAACAGTGTCGAGATAAGAACATCCCTGTATCAGGACCGATTTTGCAAGAGAAGGCCATTCAATATGCAGAGAGCTTAGGAAAGAAAGACTTCCGCGCCAGCAACGGATGGTTGCACAACTTCAAAAAAAGAAACGAAATTATTTTCAGAAAGGTTTGTGGAGAAAGTGCTTCTGTGAACTCCAATGTGTGTGACGAATGGAAAACAGAACTAAAAAAACTGACTGAGTCATATTTGCCAGAAAACATTTACAATGCCGACGAAACTGGCCTTTTTTTTAAGTGTCTGCCAGACAGAACCCTGTCTTTTAAAGGTGATTCATGTAGTGGTGGGAAAATGAGCAAAGTTAGAATAACTGTGTTGCTTTGTGCTAACTCCGACGGAACAGACAAACTCAAGCCCCTTGTCATGGGAAAGGCAAAAAATCCACGCTGTTTTAAGAATGTGAAAAGTTTGCCGACAGAGTATGAAGCAAATAATAAAGCTTGGATGGTTTCTGGGTTTTTCAGTTCTTGGCTGAAAAATATCGATAAGGCCATGAAGAAGAAGAATAGAAAAATACTTCTCTTTATTGACAACTGCTCAGCACACAAGGACATACCTCCTCTGAAGAACGTCAAAGTACAATTCCTACCACCAAACACAACCTCCAAGCTACAACCACTTGATCAAGGGATCATTAAAAACTTTAAAGTGAACTACAGAAGAGAGGTTGTCAAACGATTTTTGAGGGATATGGACAACGAGTCAATGACGCAGATTAATCTACTCGATGCACTATGGATGGTGTCAAAAGCCTGGAACTGTGTGACTTCGGTGACAATCAAAAACTGCTTTAATGCATGTGGTTTTGAGGTACCCCAACACACCACGGGAAATGAACTGGATGAAGTACAGGATGAACCTTCTATCGCGGACATAAATGAGACACCGGCTGAATGGACTGTAGCAGCACAGGCTCTGAATGTTGAAGAGTTGGCGTTCGTGGACTTCGTAGACTTTGACGACGACGTTGCTGTATGCGGGGAGCTGACTGACGCAGACATCATTACATCGGTTGCTGGAGGTTCGAGTTCGAATGCAGTTTCTTCAGACGAGGGAGAGGAGGATGAGGGCGAATCAACACAGCCAGACCCAACTCTTAAAGATGCTCGTGCTGCAATTCATGTGATTCGGTGTTTTTTTGAGAAAAAGTCAGTGATGAGTGATAGTGTTGTGAATTGCATCAATAACTTGGACATAGCATTGGATGCCGTAAACATAAAAGGTAAACAAGCAAGAATTGAAGATTTCTTTCATCCCGTTTTGCCAAAGTAGGTTCAGTAGGCCTACTTAACTACATTTTGAAAAGTTAAACTTGTACAGTATTTTGTTTAGAATTCGTATTGTTTTGTGTTTTGTTCAGTACCTGTATTTAAAATAATTTGTCTTTGTTATTCAACAGGTTTTTTACGTATGTACTTTATCAAACTTATTTCCAAACTTATTGCCCAATAATAAATAAAGTACTCTATGTGCATTAAAATTGTTTTATTTTGCTTCCACAGTTACTCTTCAATACGTGGGTAAATACAGTTTGAGTTCGATTTACATTATAAAGGTTTAGGATGTAAAAGTCGAGTTTAGATTCAGTAGGCCTACTTAACTACATTTTGAAAAGTTAAACTTGTATTTTGTTTAGAATTTGTATTGTTTTGTGTTTTGTTCAGTATTTAAAATAATTTTTCTTTGTTATTCAACAGGTTTTTTACGTATGTACTTTATGAAACTTATTTCCAAACTTATTGCCCAATAATAAATAAAGTACTTTATGTGCATTAAAATTGTTTTATTTTGCTTCCACAGTTACTCTTCAGTACGTATAAATACAGTTTGAGTTCGATTTATAAAGGTTTAGGATGTAAAAGTCGAGTTATAAAGGCCGCAACGTTACATCACTGTCAGGCCCAAACACCTCAGTATCTCGAACTTTTTTGTATGGCACCTTCATAACTCGAACCTCACTAACTTGAAAAACTTGATAACTCGAATTTTTATCATATCCCCTTCAGATTCGAGATATTGAGGTCCTACTAATAATAATAATAATAATAATAATAATAATTGTGTTCATACTTGCAAGTTCCATTGTTTCATACTAAATAACTATGAATCAAATATGAAGGTAAACAAAATATTTCACCAAGCTAAACTAGATTTGTTAATCTAGTGTGTGAAAAAATTGTTACATTCAGGACACATATTTATTTTTAACAATTAAAATACAAAGTACTTCATTTTACTTTATTACTACATCAAAACATTGTTAACTCTGGTCCTTGGACATTTCACTTGAGGAAAACATGGTTAAAGAATTGTACTACTGATATATTCGTGATAGCAAAGATAACAGTAGATTCCATGGAAGGGTAGCGTGTTCCAGAAAAAGTTACAAAGTTGAGGAAGCCACAAACGCCTCCGTAAATGTCATTCAGTAGGTATGACGAATAGAAGATGGAGGCAGAGTTGGCCATCACGGCCAAATCAAGGTATTGCTGGTCAAGGCGCTTGTTCATTGCTTCTGTCAAAACGAGAAAGACAACTGGAAACAACAGATGGATGTAAGCGTAAGGGTTCTCTGCGTGTCCTGATTTTACGATCGCCTCAGCCGCAATGAGCGATGTGTATGCAACTCTGCAAGTTCTTTGTGATCCGAAGAACAACTGTTTCAATCTTCTGTTGTTGTGCACCATGTAATCAATCAACCCTAGTACTCCGAAGATAAAACTCATTGCCAAACCGATTGAAACAAACTTCAAGTCTTGACATTGTAAGAAGGACCATCCTGACGATACTGCGAGCAGGGTGTTGGCGATAGCAAGGTCTGTGTTTGATGACATATTTGTTTTCAGAAAAGCACAGAAAGTACTAATAATTTTGTATTACCTCACGACTATTTCTATGTTACCATAGATATCATCTAACAAAAGTGTCTGTAATAAATAATTACCAGCATGTAAAAATTACATGAATACCTTTAAGGGTGGAGGTTTGTGTGTTTAAAATGTTTCATTTCCTAGACTTCTAAGCTAAGACACACACAAAATTATGTTACTCACTTCCAGAACCAGGGAATACATTTTTCGTCGTCTCCTCCACAGCGATGTTGGCCGTTTGTGCAGTTTGCGAGACAAGTGTGGTTATCATGAGACAAGATGAACTGGTTCGGACACGCACAGCGGTAGCTTACTGGCATCTTTGTGTCCTCATACCTACAACATACACATTTAGGTTACTTAGGCAACTTACATTTCAGAATTTTTTGAGAATAGGATGCTTACCTGAATGGCACAAGAAACACAAAACTAGTACAGTACAACCTCTTTAATCCGAACACCTGTAATCCGAACGTCCACTAATCCGAACTCCTCATTGCTGTACACACAGTAAAGTGTAATTGCTGCACTCACTACTGTACACAGTACAGTAGTTCTTTATTGTAAATTGTATTTATTGATATACGCACTGTAATTATTTTAATTGAAATGTACAGTACCTACTGTTTATTCCCTATGTTTACTACTGTATTAAATAAACACTGTATTTTACTTTATAAAGCATTTTACACTTTTCCCTAGCTATTGTTATGTAAAAACAACAATATGTTCTGTAATCCGAACTATTTAATAGTCCGAACTACCCCCGGTCCCAATTAGTTCGGATTAAAGAGGTTCTACTGTAGTACACTTTGTGTTTCATGTATTAGTTTGGACTCTTTCCCATTCTCTTGGGCTCTTCTAACCCATTCAGAAAAACCTGCTATACCTATCCTCATAAAAAATCCTAAAAACCTAGGCCCTTGTGCTTTAATAAATGAAGGTAAAAAATAAGATAAATGAATCACAGTAGGCCATTCCTTAAACCAACTATGGATCAAATGCCACTCAGTTCTACCACCTCTGCCTGGACGAAAATAGAGGTCAGTTCATCTGCCCTGAATTAACCTTCCTTTCATATGAATTTAATGACTTCCTCATTCCTACCCTTATCGCAGTAACAATGTGGAGTTACGTGTAAGAACAGTTTTGTTATTTACCACACAGAAAAATGAAAAGCGGAATAAATAACTGACTTTTTCAAGTATTTTTCGTTTCTCAAGTTCTTTTCAAGCCATGCATTGACTGACCCGTCAGGACTAGCGTCGACTCCAGGTACAGGCATGAGCAGGCACAGATGTGAGCAGCCCCCGTTGTCTCCGCCACAGGGGTTGGGGTAGGGCAGCTGCCTCAGGGGGTGGAACACATGGATGTCGTACGGACGGTGAGTGGTGTTGCGCAGAACTTGCAGCTCGTGGCCTGAAATATAAACAGATTGTAAAATAGGAAATAATACATCCCAAACCTCACGTAAATACTACCATTATTAAGTCAGTTCCTGTTTGAAAAATTAATAATAGCTGTATGTCTTTTTGTAAGTTGTATACTACACTGGCAGTTATCAGCTATTTGAGTTGGGTCGTAAGGCTGTACTGTGTGACAGCCCAGACAACATAGCTTTCTAACGAAATATGTCACTAGCACTAGCTAATTGAAAATAGTGAATTATAATGAGGGGCGGGAAGGAGACCCGATGGATTTATCGCTTTTATTATTGATGCTTCTGTTTTCAAAGCTATAGCTTGTGCTGCTAAGTTTTCTACAAACTTCATTAACTGAAGCTCTGACTTCTCAGGATTTAGCCGGCAATCTTCTAATTAAGAGGTGAGCACACCAATTATTGCTTACATTTAGTAGAAGTATACAATCAATGGCTGTATCCACATTAATTAAGAGCCCTACATTCCTGAGAAACTAATTGAATTTCTTTAACAACACCACAGTTTTAAACTACTGGTCTATGATTAACAAACATATATCATAGAAACAAAATAAGGAAAGTGGTTGTTTCCAACACAAACCCTTCCTAAATATAAATGTTTACACACATATCTAGTTCCAAAATATTTTCTGGAAATATTGTTTTCATCACTCCGTAACGAAAGTAACTATTTTCGATAACAGCTGACATCAATGAAAGTACCGGTAGTCGTTTCCCAAGCTCTAATTTAGGGCGAGGGAAAATCGATCAGCTGATTTTCCCTCGCTCTAAATTTACTTTCCCTCGCTCTCAATTAGTTATCCATCTATTCTCTACGCACGCTAGTGTTTTGTTACAGTTTAATTTAATGATTTGAATCAGCTAAATGTATTATTAAAAGTAGATTTATTCTTTTATTTTCATGTTTAAACAAAATTAGTTGAGAAATATAGGTACGTAAGTTTCCTTTTAGAAGATTTTTTTTATTTTGATGTTCAATCAAATTAATTGAGAAATAAAATAGTTGTAATATTACTGAGGTCTGCTAATCTGTGTTTTTGCGTTGTGATGAAAAGTATCGTTCATAACTCGTACCAAAAGTTATTATCCGGCACTTGCTCCATTATTCCCGTCCTCGGCTTTGCCTCGTACGTGAAAATAGTTCTCAAATTGGGGTTCCCTGTGTTTGGCTTTGCCTCTCACAAAAACTTGAGCGCGCGACGGAAAATGCCACTTTCGGTCCTAGTAATGAAATATACTATTATTATTAATTAAGATTTTGAAGGGGAAGAAAACGACCTTTCTTTAAGTTGTGTAATGAATTATTACAACTTTAGGAAGTTTAAATCCCTAAAACACACCTGTGAACTTGTTGGCTCTCGTCACCGCCTTCATGTTCCAGTCCGTCCAGTAGATGTAATCCTCGAACAGTGAGATGGCAAACACATGAGGAACCTTGTCTCCAGACAATACTATGTGTCGATGACGACCCTCCAAATCAGCTGATGCGATGTAGTCTAGATGAGCGTCGGCCCAGAAGATCCTCTCGGAGAAGTAATCAATCGTCAAAGCGTTCGGCCAGGCAATATCGTTCTCATAGGTCAGGATACGAGTGAAATTGCTACCGTCCATTCCCATTTTACCGATGAAAGCCTGAAATTAAAATAATAATTAGGTTCCAAGTAATAGAAAGATAAATTGGATGGTGGCTTCTATAGTCGTAACTGTAATTATTACAATCTTACTAATGCTTAGGTCTTTTTGGAGGCAGAATTTCCAAAATATTTCTATAATTTCATTTTTGTACTGTTATGTTAAGGCAAGTGCTTCTTTCACTCTTTTTCTAAAATGTGTCTTTTATTATTGGATGTACATACCAACTTATATTGTATTATTTTTATTTTTATCACCTAATGTTTTCTAAAACCTTTTCCAGACTTTTTCTATACTATAGCCGAATAAATGGCAACTGAGGCCAAAATAATTTCTTTGTGGAATTGAACGTCATATTTGCACTATATTCACTTTTCTAACCAGATATTGCTCTGAACCAGTGGAGTAGAGGCCAACTTTTTTCCATGAATTTCCACCAATAAAAAAAAAAAAATATTGGCTTATGCTATGAACACCACTTACATAAATAGCATGGTGGCATTTTTCTCGGTTGATTTACATAAGAGTATACAGTAACATCAAAATCATTTTACATAGGCCTAATACATAAATTATGCAGATGAAGGAACAGATGATTGGAGACAAACAATAGTACTTGATACATAAAAAATGTTTTTCCACTAGTATGTGGTATCAAAATTACCTGTAAGTGCCAGCTAGTGAAGTACAGATAGCCGATGCCAGGATGGACAGCCAGTCCGCGAGGGTCTGGGATGCCAGAGTACAGCGTCTTCCGTTTGGTGCCGTCCAGCTCCGCTACGTCCAGATGTTTGCTGTGTCTGTCCAACCAATAGAGTTTCCGTCCCACCCAGTCCACAGCGACGCCCTCCAGTCCGTGACTGTCATGGCGGATGACAGGCTCCTTGTCTTGTTTGTTGATGTGGGACCTGTTGCAGACAACAGACAACCCAACTCAAAACTTGAGAAAAAGTATCCACAGATTATTGTTCTTGAAAATATAATAAGGGTTATTTGTACAGCCGTAGTGTGAGTAGACAAATACTGGTGGAAATTATAAATAAAACGTGATTCATCGGAAAATACTTGCATGGATTTTGGATACAGTAACTTATACAGTAGCACTACTTGTTCAAAGTTTGTTGAATGACGAAAGGAATGTCAACAAGAAAATTGACATTGCAATAATATCACAATCAATATGAAAATTTATTTACAAGAGACGTTTATGACCAACCTGAATATTGTCTTAGCACTGACGTCACAGTAGTAGACGTAGTTCTCCCGGTAGTCAAAGTCGAGCGCCACAACGTTCATGAGTTCCTGTTGTACGATGGCGTAGTGAGTTCCGTCCAGACTCATGTTGCGCACGTAGTACTTGTTGGTGAACACCAGCCAGGGGTTTGTTCGGTCGCGCCTCTTGCACGAGTGCTCGTCCAATGCTCGATCGTAGTAAGTCTCATCACATTTGCAGTAGTAGCTACCAGGGGTGTTGCTGCAGTATTGGGAACACACTCCCGGTGTTTCTATGCACTCGTCTATGTCAGTGCAAGCCTTGCCGTCTTCCATGAGTCTGCAAAGTAATTAGTAATTAAGAAAAAGTTTTCAGTTCATTTTTTACTGGCCAAGACTTTATTTGTTGTATTTGAAAAAAACATACGGTTGATTAGTAAGCACAATTACATAAAAACTTGTTGAATACAAGAATATTAGTTTCATTTGAATATTTTTAAGATTGTTGACATAGATTTCCTCAGGTAATCCTTGAATCCTTCTATTTTACCCGCCCTATTTCATACACCTGCCTTTTTAGTTAACAACAGAAACGCGATTGCTCTGAAACAAAAATTCCTTATTGCTAACAATGCTAACTAGTAGGGATGGTCAAGTCTCGAAATTTCGGGAAATTTTCGGGAAATTATAAATCTCGTTACGCGAGACGAGATTTCTTTTTGGCCGAGATTTTTATCGAGACGAGAAAAAAAAATAAAAAATTAAAAATTAAAAACGCCTGCAGAAAGTCAATGCAATACCCGCAATACAGGAGCGTGTTGTAGTTGCGTTTCCTTTGCGAAGGCGTTCTTATTTAATTAATTCTTTAAATGTAAATATTACTTTAATTATTTAAATAATATTACTTTAATAACATTTGAGAAGTTTTCTTAACTGTAAGCAGTGTGAGGAATGTTTTATTACTATAAAAAGTCAAAACAAGTAACTATTTTATAAAAATTTATATTGCTTTTATTTTATGATTTATTTTATTTTAGGATAAGTTGAACTCTATCCTAACTGATATCACTATGTTTTCTAATCGTAGGCATTTTTAATAAGTTAGGCGTGATTAATAAAAAAATGTTATGCTGATGTTTTTTAATAAAATATTGTAAATATTCTTGCCTATTATAATTATTTTTCTATTTAAACAGTCATCTAACAATGTTACAAAATCAGGTAAAAATTTTGAACGTGTATTTCCCGTTGTGTATGAGAAGGGAAATCCCGTCTCGATCTCGTCTCGAAATTTTATGAGAAATAAAAAATCTTGTCTCGTCTCGTCTCGAACTAAAAATCCAATCTCGTCCATCCATACTAACTAGATATGTTGAGTTTGTTTGGGTTATAATGGAAGTAATGTAACTTATTGGTCTATTTCAACTCCTCCGTGTGTATTTTTTATATCCACTTGGATTGTGAAACAAATTCTTACAAAACGTTAGAGACTTAGAAAGTACAACATAAAAAATACTTTTAATTTTCATACTTGTATCCGGTGTTGCACTCGCAATAGAAGCCTGTGAGAGTGTTGACACACTTGTGACCGCATTGGTGCACCTCTACCCGAGCACACTCGTCCACGTTGCAGTGAAGCGGCTCGTCACTGTCGTCTGTGCAGTCCGACACCTTGTTGCACACCAGGCGGTAGTCGATACATTGGCCGTTGGTGCATTGGAACTGGCCTTCAGGGCATGTACTGGCTTCCTTCTCTGAAAACATTTTGTGGTGTGAATGAAAAAATATATAAATTGTAAGTTGGAGTTTTTTGCTTAGAAATAATGTGCTGAACCAATCTTTGTGAGAATCTCAAGTACAACTAATTTATGGTGCTATACTCTGTTTAAAAAATTTTGGCAGTTAAATAAGGGGAAGTTCCCCCACTTATTTTTGTTTAATGTAAGTTGCAATTGATTGACGGGTTGAATAAATGTTTGTTTTACATCAGCTGTTTAGCTTTGTTTTAAAAGGTAGGGCCAAGTGGAGGGGATACATTTCTTTCAGAACCGTCTAAATTTTGTGAACAGAGTATGGATAAAATATTTAACCCCAGGTACCTATGATTAAAAATCCCTAACATTAGAAAATATTTTTGTGTTAATTATTCAGTTGTTTAGTGATGGTGAGTCCATTTTATTTAAGAGACTAGTAGATTTCCAATCAGGATTGCAAGAACAATTTTTAGGACATTTCAGGATTTGGAATATTTAGGTACTTCCTAATCTGAGAATGGGATCAGATGGTGCAATCTGGTACAGTACAGATAGCAGATGATAGAATGACATAATAATAACTTTGTTTTTTACCAATTGTGATAGATATAATGTCCACATATCAATAATGCCTATGCCTTTCAACAACATTATCTGAAAAACAAGCTTGAATTGAACAGAATATTTAATTGAAAAGCTCAATGACAATCTATGACACAATTCAATGCACAACTTTTCATATCTTAACTGGTCCTGAAGTAAAACTCCACTGAACATTACTTACTGCAGTCAAACTCATCCGAGTTATCCCCACAGTCGTCCTCGCCATCGCAATGATAAGTAGATCGGATACATTTGAAGTTCTGACAGTGGAACTCAAGCTCCGTGCAGTTCTTGTAGACAGAGTGACAGTCCTTGCCTTCGTCTGTGCCGTCACCGCAGTCGTTGTCATGGTCACAGGTCCAACCCTGCAAAAAACATAACATTTTGTACTTTTGACTTAAGTTACCAAAGTTGCAGACAGGAAGCAAATTTAACGTTTGGAAATTCTTGGGGAGGAGGACCTCTCATTCTTAGTTCAAAGAGCTGTTAGTTACAGTTAAATATTCTTATGTTTTGTGTAATAGTGTAAAATTTAGTGTTTCTTGTGCCAGTTTGGAGTCTTTTTCATTCATGTAAGCCGGCTATCTTCATTAAAATATCCTAAATACATCTTGTGCTTGATGTTAGATACTTATAACTATTTAAGTTATTGCATGAAAGTAGATCTTATGAATGGATTCAAACAAACTTCACAATAAAATTATATTCTATTTGAATTATTCAAACTCATTGTCATTACCTTGTTGATACACCGTCCGTTGCCACACGTGAACTGGTCGGGGCTGCAGGTGGGGGGAGGGGGGCAGCTCAGAGCCGTCGTGTTCTCGTCAGCCCCGTCAACACAGTCTGGGTCCCCATCACACACCCACTTACGGGGAATACACTGCGCTCGGCCCCACGCTTTGTTGGCAGCACACGTAAACTCTGTCTCTTCATCACACTTGCGCTCGTCTAAAAAATGTGTTTACATGAGATAAATACAGTCAAAATATTAGGATTTTGAAGTTTCACATATGATTTTTTTTTAATTTCCCAAGGAGTGAGAGCAAACTATGTCATTATCATTATCAATGCATTGAGATGGGGAAACAATGATGTGTGTTTCAACCTTAACTAAAGTAAAGAGTGAGCATCAAATGGAGTAATATAACTTTTCGAGGTTTTACTTTTACTTTGTAGACCAAGTCCAATGACCAAGAAAAGGTCCTAAGTGAGGTACAGATTTTAATTTGGAGAATCTAAAGCCAGCGCCTTTTCTCATCAAGATCAAACCAGCTAATTTCTGATTAGTAGGTGAGCACTATAACCACTTAGCTCTATAGGTACATTTACTTATTTTATTTTTATTTAAAAAAATATATTTATTCAATATTATTTCAATCTGTTTACAATACTTCAAAACTATTTCATCCCCTACTCTTTTCAAAGTGTAACTGAGTATGTTGTTTGAACAATCGCTTACATCTTTTTATTATTATTTTCAACAGCATTGTTTTATTAATAAGTTTTGGCTTAATCTAAAATCCAATATCTCTTTGTTGAAGACATGTTCCATTCCCAGTACACCCAAAAATCATGTGGGTTTGGAAAGTTTTTCCAAAAAGCGTTTGACTAACTATGCTCTCTCTCTACTACTCTGAAAAACTCTCTCTCTCCCTTACTCTTCTCTGAAAGAAAAAAAAACGATAGGCGTGGACAAGAAGTAAGTCTGTTAACACTTACTGCATTGGTGTCTGGAATCTTCGTCCGAGTTGTCCATGCAGTCATTGTCACCGTCGCAGATGTAGATACGAGGTATGCAGTTTCCGTTGTCGCAAGTGAACAGATCGCCAAAGCAGGTGCGGCCTTCAGACTTGCAATACTCTGGGGGTTCATCAGATCCATCGCCGCAGTCATCGTCTCCATCACAATACCAGGTGGCAGGGATACAGCGATGGTTGGGACATCTGCAATATTGTCACATTCTGATAAAGACATCTTAAAAGACATTGAGACATATCATTAATAGTTTTGTTTGTTAAGGTTAAGGTTAAGAAGATAAGTACTGTTATTCCTTTGACTTTGGATATGTAGAATTTCTTTTTGTCATTGAACCATTTTCAGCAGTTGAAGTAAGTTATCTCTAGGGCTGCTGTTGGCTAAATAGTACTTTTGGTTTTGGGCTAAAGGGGCTAAAAGCTTCCTCCAAATTGGAGAATGGAAAAATAAGACATATATTACGTCCTAAAAACGTAAGGGAGGTTTTTGGATACTGTTCTGAGGGTTCAAAATAGCTTTAGAAAGTCACCAACAGCATTAAAATATTTAAATTACCAAATTTTCCAAGGAAGAACTTTGGACCCACATCCCAAAGACCCCCGGTTAACACCCTTGAAAAGGTCCTTGAACCGTCAATGCAAGGAATCGTATTGCCATTAGACTTTCTGAACATTACAATGTTGGATATGCTCAGCACTACATACCTGAAGCTGTTGGCGGGGCAGGTACGTTGAGCGCAATGTATGGGGTCTTCATCACTGTTGTCCCCGCAGTCGTTGTCCCCGTCACACAGCCAGTAAGGCTCCACACAGATGTTAGTTTTCTCACACTTGAGGTGGTTAGCGGGGCAAGTCGTGTTCTTGCCACATCTCTCGTGGGTCTCATCCGACGTCACGTTGTCTTTGCAGTCGTTCATGCCGTTACACACCTGGAAGATTAGTTTGATTTTGTGACTAAATTCTATTGGAGTACCATTGATGATGGATTTGAGCTTAGGATGTAATTGATTTATTTATTAATAATTTAATTAAAATTCCATCTTATTTTAATATGTGAAGTTCTTTTTTTAACATAAAATATATTCCACATTCGATTTTTACAGCTTTGTATAGTCTGTTTTATGGAGCCTATCTCCTGACGCTCCGTCTACTTGGATACTGGCCAGTGGTTCAGGGCCCAGGCCAGTCCCAGGTAGATGAAAAATCATGAGACAGGTTTCACCATACAGACTATAACACTGTAGAGATTCTTTAAGCTGAGATAGAAAAAAATATATATTAGTAGGGGAACAAATGGTCTTGTCTTGTATTTTTATTTTATTATAAAGGATATTTGAAAGACAATTTGTCCATAGTTATCAAACAACCTAATAATCTGCAAAAGTTTGAAAAATCTAAAAAAAGCAAATTGGTTTTTAACATCTAATAACTAATTGGATTTTAATTGGGTTTCCATCTGCACTGCCTACCTGAGTCATAGGAATACACCGGCTGTTGGCACATGTAAACTCTCCCTTGGTACAGGGAGGATAGTTGCAGCCGATCTCGTCTGATCCGTCCCGACAGTCATTCTCATGGTCACACTTCCATGAGCGGAATATGCATCGTCCGTTGTTACAGCGGAACTCGTTTGGACTGCATGAGTGGTATGCTGCAAGGAAATCGTGGTTATGCAGTTTTTCTGTTTCAGAGTATGCCTACTGTAAAAATGTTCAAGAGATGGCACGTGATTGGTAAAGTAAAATCGACTACAATCGATGTACCATAATGAAACTCAGCAACATTCAAAATTTCATTTTCATGAAAATTCTATGTCTTGAATATAGTAAGGAAATAAGAATGTAGATTAAAAATAAGAAAGGGAGGAAAAATAAATTTGAGTGGTGAGCCTTATCTTAAGTTATTCATTAAATTACCATGTGTTAATATGGCTAGATTTTATTGAAACGATGAAAGCAATAAAGAAATATATTTTCTCCCTCACTGTATAGCACTATGTATTTCAATTTAATAATAACATAAGCCTAATGCATGCAATGAGTTGCAATGATGTTGCAATGTAATAGTAGTTCGCCCCGAAGATGGAAAGCTACTACGCATCCGAAACATCGGCCTCTAGTCTTACTCATTCAACAACGCCTAGAACTTAGTCGACCGGAAGACATAGATTTGACAATCTACCAAAGCCTACCATCTATAAGCCTAATGTTGCTGATTATCAACTCACTGCAGTAGTTGACGTCTTCATCGGAATTGTCTCCGCAGTCGTCATCTCCGTCACAAGCCCACATGCGAGAGATGCACTTGCCATTGGCACAGTAGAATTTGTTAGGCTCACAGGTCAGGTTCTTGGCCACACACATACGTCCCTCGTTGACTAGTTTTGTTGAGTCGTTGCACTTGCATTCAGCCTAAAAACATAGAGGAGTAATCATTCTACCATTCTCATTGCATAACTTTCAAACTAGTTTTAAATGTTTTAATATTTATATTTTCTTCCCATAAAACATTGTATTAAGTTTAACCGATTGACCCACTCACCATATTGTTAGGCGCAGGATGACACGACTGGGCACACCCTCCGTTGTTGATATGGCATGGGTTGACGGTGCATTTCTGCCTCTCCGCAGAGTAAACCTGTATGTCCCTCGGAGAGTCTTCTAATCTCTTCACCATCTCCACCATGTTAGCGCCTGTGTGCTTCTCAGCTCTGTACACCCCTCTCAGTTGTAGGTCCGTCCAGTAGATGTAGTTGCGGTGGACAGTGATCGCGAACGGGTAAATCGTTGCTGATATTAACACCTAGGGAGATAGATTCGGATTATTCATCAACGTATGAATGAGTGAAAAGGGACAGAATCTCTTGAAAATGGTTTGATGAATAAAATTAATTTTAAAATCTAACGAGTACCAGTACACACTCAAATATTTTCCTAATGTTGGATAGAAAAGATGCATGAAACGAACCTTGAGCCAGAAAGTAAGAAAATAGTATTTTTTACTTCCATAATTCCTTTCAGAAAACTTTCCCACTCATTACTCTAATTTATTTTGATCAAGAAGACTTTATCAACTTTTTATTATTTTATAAAGTCATGTTTCAGATAGTAATGTGGCAATTTTTCTTCCAGATTCATAAGCTGAAGTAATCTAATTTCCATTCAAAAATATAAAAACATTCCCTCAAAAAATAAGTTTTGGAATCCTTTTTCAATGCATTTTAACTTATATTGAGACCTACATACTTATTCCTATTACAATATACATTGCTCACCTCTCTGTTTTGTCCAGTTAGCGTAGACCTTTCAATCTTCTCTCTGACTGCATCCGTCCAATACAACATTCTTTCATCAAAGTCAATAGCAAGTCCGCTCGGTTGGCTCAGATCTCGCTCAATGATCGTTCGTTTCAGACTTCCAGCCATCGTGGTGCGGAATATCTTACCTGACGTGCCAAACCTTCCCCAGTCAGTGTAGTATAACGAGCTGAAACAGTGGATTGAAATTGTTTTAGTAAATCAACAAAAACTAATCACAGCTAATATTTATTTATTGAACAGGTCCTATAGAATACAATGATTGGATGGAACGGACAAGTTATAAAAAAAAGTTTCCCAACATATCCAAAATAAATCCTACATTTTTTGTTTTTTGCATGTGAAAAAGGAAAGTTCCATACATTCTGTAATTTTAGTTGTTATAATTTTGGTTTGGACTGCTTTCCATCAAGAATGTAGGTCTTGCCAACTGACTAAGTACACACTGTGACTGGATTCCCTTGGAACTGCCAGAAAAGAATGTTAAGTAGACATACTTATTCACAACAAGTTTTTGTTAAGTCTACATAGTAAATAATAGATTTCTCCAAATGCATCAGCAAATTTTCAAAATAGAGGGATTAAAAGCAAATGAAAAAGGGTTTATAAAATGTCAGTCTGCTGATTTACTTCATAAACTTAAAGATATTATCACAGAACACACAACTGATGTTATTTATAACTTTTTGGTATAAATCCACTATGATTTAGCTAGTAAGAACTCAATCTATTGATGTGTGTGCATCAAACCATGTTCCCATATTATTACAGAGCTAAGGTAAATTTTAGTGGTAAAGTGAAGCATTTAATTAACAAAATATGATGTAACAAGATTTCTCACCCATTGCAAGGATCGACGACAATCGCTCTCGGCCTTTCCACTCTGGCGATCATCACCAAGTCGGATCCGTCCATGTTCATCGCGTAGATGCTGTTGTTGCTCGAGTCCGTCCAGTAGATCTTCTTCTGCGTCCAGTCGTAAGCGATACCCTCCGGGTTGATCCCTCGGTTGATGATCTGCTTGACTTTGTCAGTGCTGGGTTCGCCACTAGGTACTTGGGCGATGCGCGCCCAAGGACGGATCTGCGTGAACAGCAACATCTTGTCCTCGTAGTCAAAGTCCACTCCCACCACGTTCGTGAGGTTACCCTGAGAATGAGATATTTTAATAAACTTAAACTGTGTTGGTTTGGTTTGGAACATCAGGGTGTACACAATTTCAAAAATTTCTTATTATTCTTACTGCGGGAGCAAGTTACTAGACAAAAATGTGTACGAAGCACAGTTATCAAATGTGTAATTTACACTATGTGCTTGCTTGGATTAGAAACCTAATTAATGTAGATGTAGATGTTAATGTTAATGTAGCAAAATGAACATAATCAATTATCCAATCAGTGTCACCACAGAGAAAGAAATTACAGAGGAAAAGTTAAATTTTACACTTAAGTGGTGTCTAGCACTAGTTGCTGGTGTCTAGGACAAAGCCCAACACCGCCCCCTAGCTATTAGTTATTCCAATATTCAGTTAAAGGAACTATGTTTCTTCAGAATAGCTTATGGACATCTCCTAACTTCTTTAGATGCATTATTCTAAACAGACAGGTATCATAAACAACCACAAAGTTATTAAAATCAGATTTGTTTGAATCACAACACCAAAGTATGTTGCAATGTTGGTACCTCTGGTGGTGGGGGGAGTCATTGCTAGGCCTCGGCCCGCGGCTGACAATCGTCCCGTTCACATTGCAGCACAAACAGAACAGCACAAGCCCACATATTTACTAACTCCAACAAGGTTTACACCAAGTTTGCAACTTAAATATTCTTAACTTTTTGGATATTTTAAAACCCTCTATGAGGAAGAAGTTATCAAATCTAAATCAACAATGTTTGTGATTTTTATAAAGTAAATTTTGTTAGGCTTATACCCACACTTAAGTACAACCCCAGAGAAGAACTTGCGCCATGTTAGTGTTTTACCAATAATTACTCAAGAAATATTAAGAAACACAAAGTTGACTGAAAAAATTTTGAAGATTGGAAAAACATAATACTTACATAGCACAAAAATTCCAAACACTGACACAATACAGGGTGATTGATATAAGTGTGCCAGCCGTTTTATTCGAAAACCATAAAAGATATCAAAAAAAGTTAAATGGTAAGTGCCTTGGACTTTTTATTTAAAAAATTGTAGTCAAGTCGAAAAAATTATTTTAACCGCCATTTTTCCAATATGGCCGCCAACTTTGATTTTTCTTATGGAACACCCTGTATTTTATGATGTATTCTGGTAGAAAATGTAATTTTAAGACGATTTTATTCTTGTGATTTTTTTCATAAACCTAACCGTTTCAAAGATAATAATGGTTTAAGTTGTGAAATTTTGAATGGTTTTCGAATAAAACAGCTGGCATGCTTGCTTAGGCCTGTATCGAAACTCTTTCTCATGCAAAAATTTCAAAACTTTAACCATTATTATCTTTGAAACGGTTAGGTTTATGAAAAAATGACAAGAATAAAATCATCTTAAAATTACTTTTTCTACCAGAATACATCATAAAATACAGGATGTTCCATAAGAAAAATCAAAGTTGGCGGTCATATTGGAAAAATGGTGGCTAAAATATTTTTTTGGACTTGACTAAAATTGTTTAAATAAAAAATCCAAGGCACTTACCATTTAACTTATTTTGATATCTCTTATAGTTTGCGAATAAAACGGCTGGCACACTTATATCAATCACCCTGTCTGTATGTGATCTTAATGATTTTATTAAAGTCACACAAACCAGAATTAATAATTTTAAACTTAAGTAGAAATTTTCAAAAGATGTCAAACTCACTAGAGGCCTGAAGGGTACACTGGTTGAAGCAGGATCTAAGTTGACAGCTCGAATTTCAGTCCGAGTCGCAAACACCAGGTATTCGTCCACAGTCGAGCACTTGGTCCGTTGTCCGTTGAGGATCTGCCCTGTGGCGCAGTCACACTTGTATTGGAAACTGCCCAGCGAGGTTAGACTGTCTTGTGGGTAGGAGAAACACAGCTGTTCACATCCACCGTTACCTGTGTCAGGAAAAAAACAGAATAAAATTAAAATATTCATATAAAAAATACTACCAGCCTATTTCAATTTTTTGTTAGTTTTTCAGGAGTGTGTAATTTACTAACTGTGATTAATGTACTTTCGACAATAATTGTTGCATCATGCATCGTAGCCATATAAAGGCCAATGTTTGTTTTTGAAAGTTTTTCGTACGTACCAAAGCGTCTACAAGGGTTGTTGTCGTCAGGAGGCTGGTTGGCTACGTCGTAAATGACAATGTCTCTCAGTTTAGACAGTCCCGTCCTAACTGGAGTGGCGGCATCTGTGTTGCCAGGTAGCTTGGAAGCCTTGTACACTGTCTGTAGGTTGCGGTCCACCCAGTACACGTCACTCATGTGTACTGCAATGCCCATCGGGTTCGGTAGGTTACGACGCACCACCTGTAAACGTTTTATTTACTCATATTGCACTTCATTGTGCAGAAAGCATCTACCAAATATAATCATGTAATCTATGTACTTAACACAATAAGGGTTTTCTTTGTTACATCTCTCTTTCAATTGTCCTACCGTTTTTACAATTGAGGAGTCATTTTAAAGCTTATGGTCTTTAGTAGTTTTAACCACCTAATAACTGTCCCAAACAACCATAATATTAGAAAGCTAAAAGGGCAATGCATTTTTTCAAGTTATTCCTCAGAAACAAGTTATTAACCCCATTATAGTGCAAATTTTACACACAAATCCTCTCAAATAAATAATAACGTTAATAACACAACTAAATATTACTGGGGAAATTCTGACCATAAATCACACTTTTCTATAAGTGTCTTACCTGTCTGTTTCCTCCGTTGTAAGATATCTTCTGTATCATGTCCAGTCGAGCGTCAACCCAGTACACGTCGTGTGTCAACATGTCGACTGTGAGGTCTCGTGGTGTGCTGATACCCGAGGTGACTATCGGTGACCACTTCTGTCCGTCGAGATAGGCCTTGCCGATACGTGGGTACTGGCCGTAGTCTATCCAATACAGGTACCTGGGGGATTTTACAATAAATTAAAACATCTTTGGTTAAAACTTAAATAAAGCTTTCACAATTATGTTTGTGATATATATTGTGTGTGGTTATATAGAATTCATTAAAATTTCGGTTAGTTCGTCCAGAGATCGTGATCGCTGGAAAATCTCTATCATTTCCCCCGCTCTTTAGGAAGTCCCCGCTCAATAGAGTAAAAAAAAATATAAATATATAATTATTTACAGTTGGCTACTTTGAAAACCAAACACACAAACCCTTTCAGAGGAAGAAATTCCCTTGACCACTCAATTGTAAGGGAGGAAGTCAGGCAATGTGTGCCAGAACTAAATATATGTGGCGATTTGACTTGTGACTTAAAGAGAAGTATAATAGTTTAGGAATTACTGAGGTCTTTTATTCTTTTTGTGTGTATTTTTGCGTTGTGATGAGAAGTGACTATCCAGTTGCTCCAAATATTTCCATCGTCAGTTTCACCTTCCACATGAAACTAATTTCTGTGTGAGGCAAAGCTGTACTGAAACTTGAAAACTTAAAAAATTCCACTTTCGGTACTAGTAATGATATCTACTATTTCAAAGCCATATAACTTCCAACGCAAGTTTACCTTTTGATCGGATTGACAGCCAACTCCTTGGGTGCATCTGAGGTGGTTTTGTAGATAACCTTCCTGTTGGATCCGTCAAGCCAGCAAACCTCAACGTAATTCTCGTGTGGGAAAACGTTGGTGAAGTACAAGTTTCCAGCGATCCAGTCAATAGTCAGTCCTCGTATTCCGTTAGATCCGATGCCATCCTTTATGACCGCCTGGAGTTCTGTGCCGTTCGGCCTCACTCGGTAAATACCGTTCCACGGTCCTCGGTTGAAGTCCACCCAGTAGATCCACTTCTCTTGGTAGTGCACGTCCACATGTAAGATATGGTGGCCTGAAAAAGAATGCAAGTTTAGTTAATCATACACAACTTTTGAAATATTAAAATAAATTAAACAAGGTGTAGCTATAAATCAAAATATTTTGCAAAAGCTATAAGCACACAAATCTTAATTACAAATTGATCAGGCTATCATAAGCCAAAGTTTGCTATTACTAAAATATGAGAAATAAATAAATACAAGTTCAAACTAAATTTAAGTATAAGTGAGCATAGAAACTAACCAGGATTAGTTATTTGCAAAGTGTTACCTTATACAGTCTTTAATATCCATTTATCTTAAGGACAATGTATGAAAGTGATTTGAAAAAATAGTGAAGAGTTAAAAATTGTATTTTAATCTCTCTGTAGCAGTAATGTACTTTATGAGTGTATTTTACTATTTTAAGCTGAATATAATTTAAGGGTGTGAGCAGAATAGATTGGATGTTCTAAGCTTTGTTTCTGATGACTGGGATCACCTGTTTCCTTAGCCAAGAATTTTTATGCGTACGTCAACGATCTATCGCAAAAAAAACTCTTTTACAAAACATACCAGGGCCAGAGATGGGGACAATGGCTTCAGACGAGTCCTCCAGACTGAACCCACGAGTGATGTCCAGTTGAGACACGACAGCGAATGTCTTGTACGCAACACAACTTCCATCTTCCTTCTTGTATCCGATGGAGCAATGGCATTCCCTCTGGTTGTTCTCAGTAGGGATACACAGCTGGGAGCAGCCTCCGTTGTTGGTCATACAGGGGTGGTTGGTCACTGGGAATAAACATGGATTGTTAGATTAAATTAATAATATTCCAGGTGCAACATTACCTGTTAATTTACTATTTACTATACAAAACTCATTTCCTGACAAAAAAGACAGTGTGGTTTTTAGTCACTGGTTCGATCTTAAGTGGAAAGATCCAGATGTAATTTGTCAACGTGCTATCAATTGATGTTATCTAACCAAAAGGTAGGAAGATAAATCTGGTCTAGTGGTAGAGCACAGGACTTCAGTCTTAAATCCCACCAAATCACCAATAGATTAAATTTAAGTGATAATGCCGCAACAGCTGGGTCTAGCCTGAAGTAATGTGAAAAACGCGCTTGGACTAAAGCCTAGCATCCAACGACAAAAAGAAGGAAAAATATTCAAGGTGTGAAAACAACCATTTAACTATTTAATTAAATTGACTCATGTTCATATTTTTTTCACATTATCATAGGCCCTTCATGTGATAAAATTTTAAAATCCTTTATGCAAATTTTCCTTAAAACAAATTTACTGAAAAATAAGTTATGATTTTGCATACAATGACTGTAGATAAAATGAGAGATTGTATTTCTTCATGTCTCATTATCATATTTTTCCATTGACTGAGCGGGGAATGCCTGTCAATGTTCAAAATGTTTAAATATTATGAATAATCAACAGTGAGGAAAAGCAACCCTAAAAAGATAGGGGAACGAATTTCTACTCAGTTTGATAATTAACTTGTTCCACAGCTTAAAACTTACTGAATAAGGACCGTTTAAAATTGAAAAAACTCATTAAATTGATGTACAAACAATAGGTATCCAAATAAAATCAATTGAAATTTATTTTTTACAAAAATGCTTAAGAAACTCACAAGGCCTCTTTCTAAAGATAGTGAATGTCTTGAGGTCAGGCTCATTGTCGATCATGGTCTTGCTGTTGTCGCCCGTCGCAATGTCTACCCTCTCCAGCCTCTCGTATCTCGGGTCCAAGTAGTACAGTCTCTTGTCATAGACTGCCAGCGCCTTGGGCAGTGAGATACTGTTCCGTTCATCCAGCAAGTCTCGCTTCCAGTTGCCGTCTGTGTCGATCACTATGATCTGTCATGAAAAAATGGGCCTGGTTACATGTTTGTAAAGCAAAAAGTTAACTTGTTTGGTAATATCAACCTGGTTATAGTGTTGGCTTTCAAATCTGAAGGTCCTGACTTGTTGGATTGTTTCCGAACCCAGATGCAATTTATCTTTGTTACCAATTGATTATGCTTTCTAAAAAAGTTTGAAGTTAGATAGTGCTCTACACTCACCTTGCTAGGGTATTGAGTACTGTAGTAGATAAGTTTCTCATCCAAGTCTATCGTGATCGCTTCAGGCCTAGTAATGTTGTTGACCAAAACCATTGAGTTACTACCATCCATGTTCACTTTACCAATCTTGGCGGATACTCCAAAACCCCCTTCGTCCACCCAATACAGTTTTCTGGAAAATAATTGACATGAGACATTTTTTTTACACTTTTCTTAATTTATTGTTGAATATTATTATGGCGAGTTGGTAAGTTTTAAAATATCAACCCGACCAACTCGTTAAAATTAATTGAAAAATATTTGTTTACAGTAACTTATATTAAAATAAGGGTTTTGAATTGTATGAAGTCTTGTAAATAAATTTTCAACTGTAATATTTCAGGCTCTGATTAAATTTTTAAACAGTATTGATTTTCAATGTTTCATAACGTATTTAAATTATGAAAATCAATTCCTTATTTACTAAATAAAAATGCTAATCTTACCCCATGGAAGGATCGAGACACATTGACTTAGGTTTTGCCACAGATTCTGGTTTCCCATTGTTTGCCAATATGATTTTACGATGTTTGACTTTTCCGTCGACCTTGATAACCTCCAAGTTGGAGGCGAGTCTGTTCCCGATGTACAGGTTGCGTCCAAGCCAATCAAATGCGATTGCGTACGGCGCTCCTGTCATGCCAGAATCCTTCGACAAGAACTCAGTCTTGTTCCCACCACGGTATGGAGTTGTGTAAATTGTGCACTGAAACAATGGAAATTTGTTATTCGCTTAGTTGAACTCACTAATTAGGATCAACTATTTCGTCATGATTTAAAAAAATAATGTTTTAACCATAGGAATGCTGAATGAAGTATATATATGAAATATGGGACTTAATTGTCTCCAAAGAAATAGTATTAAATATACAGAAGGTTTACTGATTCCAATGTTCAGTATTTACAAAAATGTTAAAGTAATTTTGTCGTGTACAAAACTGTAAAACCCAGAGCCAATTTAGTAAATAGGCCTGTTGGACCTCGGCATAGGGGAAATGCAGATTTTATGTTTGTTTGGGCACAAGAGAAAAAAATTCCTGGTAAAGAGGGGACGAAGGTTTGGTGCAAATATGTCTCAGGCACATAATACCTCTAATGTGAACCGGGGTTTGCAATACAGACCAAATTATTATAATCCTCAACGATTTACTCCGCACAAATATGTATAAAAATTAGGGATGGACGGGTCCCAAAATTTCGGGAATTTTTCGGGAAAAAAATGTTCCCGATTATCGGGACGGGATTACATTTGACTCGGGAATTTTTCGGGACGGGATTTGGTCCGATCGTCAGCGATTTTTCCGCTTCGCGAGTGCCGATAACGCCGTTATTGCGAGATATAGGTCCGCGAACGCAGGAGACAAAGTCATTTCGACGATTACGCCGTGACCGCGGAGTCATAACGACGATCGCGCCGTGGCCGCGATTATTGGACCGACGATCGCACCGTGACCGCGAGTCATAACGACGATCGGGCTGTGACCGCGGAGTCATACCGACAGTCACGCCGTGACCGCGGAGTCATAACGACGATCGCGCCGTGACCGCGAAGTCCTACCGACGATCGCGCTGTGACCACGAGTCATACCGACGATCACGCCGTGACCGCGAGTCATACCGACAATCACGCCGTGACCGCGGAGTCCTACCGACGATCGCGCCGTGGCCGCGATTATTGGACCGACGATCGCACCGTGACCGCGATCGGGCCGTGACCGCGAAGTCCTACCGACGATCGCGCTGTGACCACGAGTCATACAGACGATCACGCCGTGACCGCGAGTCATACCGACAATCGCGCCGTGACCGCGGAGTCCTACCGACGATCGCGCCGTTACCGCGGAGTCATACTGACGATCATGCCGTGATGGTGAGTCATACCGACGATCACGACGTGACCGCGGAGTCCTACCGACGATAACCCCGTGACCGCGGAGTCATACCGACGATCGCGCCGTGACCACGAGTCATACCGACGATCGCGCCGTGACCGCGAGTCATGACGACGATCGCGCCGTGACCGTGGAGTCATACCGACGACAACCCCATAACCGCGAGTCATGACGACGATCGCGCCGTGACCGCGGAGTCATACCGACAGTCACGCCTTGACCGCCGAGTCATAACGACGATCGCGCTGTGACCGCGAAGTCCTACCGACGATCGCGCTGTGACCACGAGTCATACCGACGATCACGCCGTGACCGCGAGTCATACCGACAATCACGCCGTGACCGCGGAGTCCTACCGACGATCGCGCCGTGGCCGCGATTATTGGACCGACGATCGCACCGTGACCGCGATCGGGCCGTGACTGCGAAGTCCTACCGACGATCGCGCTGTGACCACGAGTCATACAGACGATCACGCCGTGACCGCGGAGTCCTACCGACGATCGCGCCGTTACCGCGGAGTCATACTGACGATCATGCCGTGATGGTGAGTCATACCGACGATCACGACGTGACCGCGGAGTCCTACCGACGATAACCCCGTGACCGCGGAGTCACACCGACGATCGCGCCGTGACCACGAGTCATACCGACGATCGCGCCGTGACCGCGAGTCATGACGACGATCGCGCCGTGACCGTGGAGTCATACCGACGACAACCCCATAACCGCGAGTCATGACGACGATCGCGCCGTGACCGCGGAGTCATAACGACGATCGCGCCGTGACCGCGAAGTCCTACCGACGATCGCGCTGTGACCACGAGTCATACCAACGATCACGCCGTGACCGCGAGTCATACCGACAATCACGCCGTGACCGCGGAGTCATACCGACGATATCCCCGTGACCGCGGAGTCATACCGACGATCGCGCTGTGACCGCGAGTCATACCGACGATCGCGCCGTGACCGCGAGTCATACCGACGATCGCGCCGTGACCGCGAGTCATACCGACGATCGCGCCGTGACCGCGAGTCATTACGACGATCGCGCCGTGACCGTGGAGTCATACCGACAATAACCCCGTGACCGCGGAGTCATACCGACGATCGCGCCGTGACCGCGAGTCATGACGACGATCGCGCCGTGACCCGCGAGTCACAAGTTTCTATAGGTACCTGTAAATTGTTACCCATTTTTTTGTTTTTATAGATCAGTGCCACAAATGGTAAAAATTGATTTCGTATGTCGTTTTTGGTAACTGCAATACAGTACTTTCTTTTTATGCACAGAAAAAAATCCCGTCTCGTCCCGTCCCGAAAATCGGGAAGGAAATAAAAATCCCGTCCCGTCCCGTCCCGAACTAAAAATTCAATCCCGTCCATCCCTAATAAAAATCTTTTCTTTTTCAGAAAACAAGATTATTTATCCTTTTAAATAAACTAATAATAACTAGCTCCAACTTACCATGCTTAAAAATGTTCAAAACCAATTAAAAATTTAATCTTATACAAATTAACTTGTTGAATTGAGCTTTACTTACATTTTCATCGTCATCCTCCTTGCCTTCGACCCAGAACAGCATCTCGCTCTTGCGGTCAAACTCAATCTGTATTCCATTCTCAATGCCGACAATGGGAGTGAGATACCCGCTGGTCTTGTCTCCTGGAGTCAGACTCACGTCTACGATCTGCATACCCTTCATCAACACCAGGAACGAGGTCTCCTCTGCAAGAGAAATCAGGGTTAGGAAGTTAGAAGAAACTTTTAAACTAAAAATGATTATCAACAACAACACTTCAGCATCTATAATCCCAGGTGATATGAATCATTCTGGTAAAAGAGTATCAAGAGTAATAAAAAGATTTACAAAACATAATTTACATGAAACATTGGATTTAAATGTTTCAGTCTCTTGATCACTTGTATACAAATAAAAATTTTGGATTACCTTAAGTAACTGATCCACGTTTAACATGAAAAAACAGGATCATCATTTTATGACAGTTACTACTTTGAAGAATTAAATTACAGTGATGACATTTACGGACCGTGATAAAAAAGAAGAAAATTATATTAATGAAATTAGGATTTTAAGCTCATTAGTAGTTACAATCTGTTTACAATCTTAGAGAATCAGTGAACTTTGTTCTAAGATTTGATAATAGGGTATGAAAAAGAGTTTGAATTGATACAAGAATACTTCAGAACTATCAGGTAATGAGGGTAGGGGCAAAAACACCCCATAGGGAAGGGTTAGGGAGGGGGTGGAGGGTAGGGTTTTATGAAAGATTGAGTGAAGATACGAAGATAGCTCAGTTGAGGAATCTAGAAAGATATCAAATGTAGTCTAGTTCTCAATTGGATGGAGATGGGAGATAAAATTACCGTGTATTATCAAACTAGTGAAAGAAATTAGATTGGTCGACCAAAACCTAAAACCAATTTAAACTGCTGATGATGAATGGTAAGGTATTACCTTTCTTTACATAGGCTGCAAATAAAAAAGAAAAGAAAATATCCTTTCACCTTCAATACACCTGAATCCATCAACGCGGAAGCCCGGTTTGCACTTGCAGGTGAACCCTTGAGGATCGGACGGAGAGAGCAGACAGAGCTGAGAGCACGTGGGGTAGCGAGGGTCAAGACAAGGGTTGGGGGACTTGGGCTGCAGCGAGGGATGATGTACGTGGATACTGAGGGGCTGAGAAATCAGGTGGGAAACCACTGTCTGGTTCTTGCCTCGGAACTTGTGCGCTGACAGTACCTGCGACAACAAACAAGAACGTGTGATTCATCAGGTAAATGATCTAGTTGTCAGTTTAAATGTCTTTTCTATAAAACCCATTGTATGTATCAATGAATTGTAGTCATAGTCATAACATCTTTAAAGATATTTATACTTTGTTTTATGTTTATGATTGACATTTTTGCTGTTCACAAGGGAAGGAACAGTATTTGACCCAAGAAATTATAGCATTCTGAAAGAAAAATAGTTATTAAAGGCATACGATGGAAAAAGTAAATATTGGTTCCAATTGACTGACTTCAGTTATTAAAGCAGGCATGGTATCTAATGGACCATACTGTAGCAAGGAAAAAGTTAAAATACACCTTTCTACAAAGTTGCTATTATTGAAATGTATTTTTCTTTGTTATTTATTTATCATGATAATAGATGGAAACATAACAGATTATATAGGGTCCAAAGTCTCAATGATTTACGTTTCAGTTGGGTAGTTAGTTAACTAACTAAGAGGTAAAATTTATTAACATAAAATGACAAGTGAAATGAATCGTATCCAACAGCAGTACATTATGTTAATTTGTTAGACTTTAAGTCACAAATGCATTAAGGGGAAAACTTTTGAACTCAAAACCCCAGAGACATATATGGGATCTGTTGATGGCTCAAATATACTGAAACCTTTTATATTCTAAAAACTAGCTACAACTTTATAGGAATACCATATCTACTTCACTGAAGGGAATAATGAATATATGATCAAACTTGCCAAAATTGTTCCTATCAGCTTGAAAACAAAGTAAAACAACACAATGTACAACTTACTCTATTCAGCTGACGATCTGTCCAGTAAATAGTGTCCTCGAAGACCGTGATAGAGTGTGGATGCAACAGATAATGACTACCAGCCACCACCTGTTGTCGTCCGCTGCCGTTGTAGTTGCAGAAATCTATAAAGTCTAGCTTGGAGTCTGCAAAGTAGATCCTCTGGTTGGCAATGTCCAAAGTCAGACCGTTGGGCCAGTAGATCTTGGTGCTGATGATGACAGATCGGTTGGTTCCATCCATACCCACCCTCTCGATACGGGGGTTCTCTCCCCAGTCAGTCCAGAAAAGCCAACGAGCACTGGAACATAATATGGTTTTTAGATGAACCGTATGAACTAATAAACTGTAGTGGATTATTATTTAGGTTTGACCCAATTGGCAAGCATTATGGTTATCACCTGATTTTACAGATAACTAATTACTAATTAAGGATAGTCAAGCAGGTAATTTATTTTTATGAGCAATAAGGCTTGGGAGTAGGGGTGTCCAATGCATCGAAATTCCGATTCAATTTAAATATGAATATACGGCAGTCAAAATAACGATTCAATTCATGCAGGAAGAGGCCGATTATAAGGAGATATGTAGTGTGACATTGTCAAGCCATACAAGATACCTATTCCATATTCCGGCAAGGTTTCAACTAGGTTACCTCATTGATGGAATGATCTAAGACAATGTAAAATAGTTGAGTAAGGGTTGCTTGCGTTTTGCAGGATTTACAAAGAAACATATACAAATCACAAATCTATTGCTAGGTACTAAATGTAGTAGAAACTATCTTGAGCTTATTGAAATCTTCACATAATAGCTGAAACAGCAACTACCATTTCTGAACATAAGAAAACTGTTTGACCCTTAGTTTCAAATTAACTCACTTAGGACTGGGGTCAAGCATCATTCCTCGCGGCTGTGTGATGTTTTCTTTCAGCAGAACAACTCTGTTAGAACCGTTTTCTGTTGCCACTTCGATGGAGTTCAGACGAGAGTCTAGCCAGTAAAGATTGCCTCCCACCCAATCGTAGGCTAGTCCTTCTACCAAGTCAAGTCCAGTGGATATCACCTGAAAGATATTTTAATTTAAATATAAAAAAAAGGTTTACATTTCTATGCTTTCAATCTTATAATTGTTTAGCTAGAAAAATAAAACTCTGGAAGAAGAGAAGCATAAATTATTCTGGCATAGGAAGGCTTGCCTATAAATGATTAAGTCACCCAGTTGGATAATCATTCACATTGGTTAGCAAAGGATAATCAGATGTTTTAATACCAGAGAAGGCATTACCTACCATACGGCAGTATATCACAGGAAATCGCCTTGGTAATCACAAGACGTTTACCCGCTAAAACAGCTGATCACATTTTTTTCCAAGCTAAATTTGTTTTACAACGCTACTGATAGTGCACAATGACAACAGCCATTAGTTACTCTTTGAAGGTATTATGAACTCAAAAGTTTGTATAAAGGAAGTAATAGATGGATGACTACCAAATTTTTTCCAATGAATATTTTGATGTTGGCTGGCCAAAATTAACACTCAATTAAATTGTTTCCATACATCACACACACAACTAAGTACTCAAGTTACTCACCACTTGCGGTTCGCTACCACGGTCCAGTCGAGAGATCTTCTTGAGCTTCATGTCCGACCAGAAGATGGTGCCAGTGTGCATGTTGGAGGCTGTGGCGACAACGTTCTCCACGACTATCGGCACTCTCTCTAGTCCTTGGTCCTTTAGGTCTGCGATCAGGATTGAGTGACGGTTGGAGATGATCAAGAAGGCTGCACTGTGGTCTGTAAAACAATTTGGTAATTTTGAGTACTAAGGTTTCATTGGTAAAAAAAAACTATTTAGAGAAGTCGGAAGTCTCTTGATAGATTTTTTTACAATCGAGAAGTGATCTTTACAAACCGAATTTTTTAGGATATTATAAAAAAACTAACAAATTAAGAAGGAGGAGTGTCTCTGGTTTTTTCCTACCGTTGTTAAGTAATTGATTAGTGTTTTTGATAGGATCTTTATTTCTGGTTTTAAATACCATGCAGATTGTTGTGTGGTTTTCATTTTGTAATTTTTCCAGCTTTAGCGGGATTTGTGTACTAATTTTTCTATGTTTTATGTACCTTTTAATATTTTTCGGATCTAAGAAAAAATTTTGTGTTTTTCACTAATCAAGATAAAGAATGTAGGTAATAACTTATATCACATAAATTTTTCATCACACAAAAAACAAACAATGGAAATTGATTTGTTACAATATTAAGTACAAAAAGTTTTCTGTACCTTCTTTGTTCAAATTAAAATTTGGTAAAGCGGTAATTAAATTAAATATTTTCAATTTTCTGTTAGGAATGGAAACAAAAAGTAAAGCCAAATGAACTCTTTTAAAATCATAAACCTCATGTCCTTAAAACAGATTTAATTTCTGTTACTCACTATTTAGAAAAATATTATCATCAGAATTTCAAAAGGTTACAATAGCACATTCTGAAGCTAAAGATAAAGTAACTTGTTGTGGAGTAACCTTTAATCAAACTTACTGAGAGCTTTGCAAGTGTGGTTGTCCCTCTCCAGTAGGTATCCGTCATTGCAGGTGCAGACGTAACTACCCTTAGTGTTGGTACACACTTGTGAACACAAGCCTGGCGGAGAACACTCGTCAACGTCCTGGCACGTGACGGTGTCGTTGGACAGAGTCTCACCGTGGGGACACGTACATAGAGCACCCTGCGGAAATACAGTTACAGTTACAGTTGGATGGATAACTAAGCAGTTTTACCTTTAAACTCTATGCACTATAATTAGGAATTTAACTATACCTTTTTATATCACATTTTCCCTCATCGCATATCACATATCAGTTTCAATTTTATTTTTTATATACCTATCAAAAAATTGCAAAATGCCTAAGATGTTATGCAAATCAAAAAGAATGTACCAATCCTGCCAACTTCCACTAAAACTGTCAACCATTTATTTTATGTAGGTTGCTTTTCAAGTAAAACTCTTGACTCAGATAGGCCACCAAACTCTTTGTGAGTTCTCTAGACCTAACTGAAATGGGAATGGAACTCTCAAGCTAATATTCTGTATGCTAGCCAGTAAGGCAAGACCTTAAAACGCCCAGCCTTTGACCAGACCTATAGCTTTTGGTATGCCAAAAGTAAAAAGTAGTACAGTAGTTCTGAGCTAGACTCCTAGATTTTTAGAACATTTTGTATTGCTTTTAGCAATTTTTCATGTGTTTTGATTGCATAGAATATTGTAAGAGAAAGTTTGGTTATGTTTTTCTTGAGTCCAATATATCAGACTAAGGAGCTACCTTGGCATCTTACTTTTTCCACTAAAACAGCGTTGTCACAATTTTCTATCATTATATTCCTTCTTGTGATGCAACAGAAGTCGTGCAATCCATCTTTATACTATTTTTAAACAGTTTTAACGAGAATTAAAATTTTACGATTAGGGATTATATAAAATAAAGTGTCAATTAAACAGACTAATAACATCTATAGTCCAAAAAGTGCTACTCACAACTGGGGTTTCCACACATCCGTTTGAGCACTGTCCAGACTTCTGCCCACATTCGTTCAGGTCACATCCTGGACCTTCATCAGCTCCGTTCGGACAGTCCGGCTTCCCATTGCAAACTCCGGACAGTTTGATACAGCGGTCCGTGACTCCCGGACACTTCCACTCATCCGACTCACATCTGAAACAGTTGAAAATGTTATTTAAATTGCAAATATGTTTGGAAATATATTTTACTTTTCCTAATGTTATTATCTTAGTTTTGAGCAATATTAATGACTCAAAACCGGATTTAGTGTGAATGGCAGGGTCACTGATGGTATAGAGCAAAATGGTCGGAGAAACATAGGGCTTCAAGCCGGGCTCTCATCACTGCCTTAAGACCTGACATGACACATTTGCTCGTATACTGGCTCAAGATGGATTTGGTATCATCAGTGACAGATGTGGCTGTCGTTCTTAAGACATCACTGGTGCAATGAGTAGCTGTCTGGGATATCCTGTAAACTGTCTTTTGACGAAGAACTAATTTATCATTTATCTGCACATCAAGGTTACTGTGAGCACTTAGTGTTTAGCCTGGATTTACCTGATGCCTGGAGATTTGCAAGCGTGTCTCTCATCTTCATCGCTCCCATCTCCGCAGTCATCCCGGCCGTCACAGATATACGCCTTGAATACACACTGGGAGTTGTTGCATTTGAAGTAGCCCATCTGGCACGCCACCTGTGAATGGACAGAAAACATCAGATTATGGGAGGATTATTTTGAGTATAAATTATATAGTGTTTTAGTTTTACATAATAATTAATATATTGACGTAAACTTTAACGACAAACTTTTACGAGACATTAAAAATTTTTCGTTGCTCTTAAAAGGGAGTAACATTGTTTTACCGACTGTACTCTTTCAGCTGTATTTCATATTCTAATCCATCAAAACTTGAGTGACAGGTAGGCCTATTTAATGTTTTTGACAGAATCAAGTGACAAATGCCATTTTGCTACAATAGATATCTATACTTTTATTATTTGTCTTTTCTTTTTTCATTAAACCATTAAAATTAAGGGTCAGTTATAGAGGTTTGTATTTGTCAAGTTTCAAAAGCTTAGGTTGCCCTAAAAATAACTTGCTTTGGAATAATTGTTTAAATATGTAGGCAAAAAAAAATTACAATGGTGTTCTTTCTTTCATGGTACACTAGGGTTTAGGATTCTCTAAAAATCATCATAGAAGAATTGTACCTAGGCTATCCAACAATTTTCTACCAACGTTCATAATATCATACAAACTATAAATCCCAGCAATTTTGTACTGAGTTCAAAATCGACCTATATTTGTCAAACTTCCTCTTCTGTAACTAATTCTACATAACAACTGTAAAACTATAACCACAAAGAAAGTGTTTACCTCCCCACATGTAGGAGGTTCATCAGACTCGTCATCACAGTCAGGAGTGCCATCGCAGTGCCAAGCCTTGGGGATGCAGATGCCAGACTTCTCACACTTGAACTGCTTCTCACTGTCACAAGTGTTGGGGGCAAGAGTAGCTGCAACAACATTGGCAAGTGATAGAGACACTGGAAATCGTAGACAGGAGTTTGTTTCTTGGTTGAAAAAGTATAGATTAGAGATTAAATTAACTACTTCTTTTATTGAAGCAAATATTAGGACCACATTATATTTCTAACAGTTTATATCCAAATTGTAAAATCTGATGCTAATAAAATAAGTTCTGTCGATTGTTTGTGTCAAAACTTTGCTGATACTACTATTGAAATATTTTCTAAACATAAACCAATATATTTTAGTACTTTAGTAAGGTGTCATATTGGTTTGGTTTTTTTATCTACAAGGGAGCAACGGTGTAAACATTTTAGTTACCAAGAAACTAACTTTTATTTACGATACTAATTTAATTTGTGATGTTAGTCTTTTACTCTGACATTTTTGATTCAAAATGTATTGTTCTCTTAAATATTAGATAATGTCAGATACTATCCCTAAGATTAACCATACAAGCATACAAATTAACATGTTTTCAAATATTTTTTAAGAGGTAGCCGGCCTCTTTTAGCCTTGGATTTTTCCTGTCCATATAGGCCCCGAGCCTGTGCATGGAGGACATCCAGCAAAGCAATCTGTACAGTACATGTGTTGAATAAAATATAGTGGCAGGTGACAGGACACAGAATGTCATCGCAGCTATGGATCCGAAGACTGATGCTATCCCGACTAAACCATCGACTCATCAAACTATGAAGAAAACTTAATCCCTGATACAAATAACAAACAAACTCTACTGATTTCCAATTTTATCGTAAACAAATTAAGAAAAATTTTACAACTATTACAAATAAAGAGTAAAAGTAAACAAGGATAAAATAAAAATTGACTTACCACATCCGAGTTCATCACTTCCGTCATTACAGTCGAGGATTCCATCACACTTGTAGGTCTCTTGCACACACTGACGCAGATCTGCACACTTGAACTGTGTAGCGGAACATGTGATTGGTGGACATCCTTCTTCATCTTGGTTGTCAAAACAATCGTTGTCTCCATCACAGACCCAGGAATGAGGAATGCAGTGGCCAGATCTCGGACAAGTAAACTGTAACAAGAACCATTAGATTTTAAGGAAGCTGAGCAAAAAATAAATGGTCACAAAGATCGGGAGTGGTAGGTTAGGTAGTACTTAAAATGACCTACAACTAAAAAAATAATTTAGACCACATTTTCATTTACTTCTTACAAAAAAAAAAAAAAAGTTTAGCCGACTAGTTTCTTTACTGAAAAAGACTTTGACATCATTACCTGGAAGTAAGCGCACGTTTTCTCTGCGCAGAAATCTCCCTCGTCAGAACTATCACCACAATCGTTTTCCGAGTCACATTTCCAAGTAGAAGGTATGCATCTGCCGTTTTCGCAAAGGAACTGTGACGAGGAACAGGTTACATTTACGCAACCTGTTTCGTCACTGTAGTCGCCGCAATCATTCTCCGAATCACAGCGGAAAGTCATAGGAACACATCGTCCTGAAGAACACTGGAACTCTCCTGGTGCACACGTTGGCTCTGGAAATTAAGACATGAGTTGAAAAATAGACTAAGTGACTTTAAAAATTTTTGGTTGCTTTTGTTTTATTACCTCACAAAACTCCATGAGAAATGTATTGACTGAATGTCAGGCATGTGAACTGTTACAATACCTATTAGATTTTTAGGATGCTGCACCAAAAATAAATTTTATAAAATTAAAATTCCATTTATACAAATTGTAAATAAAGTCCAAATTGTATTTAGCCTCCCAACAAATAGTTTTACTTATTTTCTTTCGTCAAACCTAAAATTAAAGTCCAAATCAAGATTATGATACCAGTTACAAGGGCTTTTGAGGAAGTTGTGACTTAATAAGGAGGAAACTGCCAACCTACAGTAGAGGTTAACTAGAAGTACACTAGAGATATACTAGAGATACTAGAGGTTAATTGTATGAAGGACCATGAGGTCCTAAGTTCGCCTCAATAAAGAAGCATTTTCATTTCATTTCATTTAATTTTCATTTAATTTCAACCTGCTGGAGTGCTGATCCAAGTATCGTAGTAGTAGTACTGGGGTACTAGTGAAAACTTCAGTACATATTAAAACATTCAGAGATATTATATGTTTATCTCAATATGTGATGCTAATCAAAAACACCAAACCAAACTAAATCATTCCATTGTAGAGAAGTGTTCACTTTCTAAAATCATAATACAATTGTTTACTCACTGGTGCAGTTCTGCTCCTCGTCAGAGTTGTCGAGACAATCATCATCTCCATCACAGACCCAAGCCTTGGGTACGCAGCGCTGGTTGTTGCAGGTAAAGTCCCATTTGTTAGGACACGCTGTCACGGGTGGTTCAGCCTCCGGGTCGGAGATGCAAGTGCGTCCATCGCCTGACGGGTCTAGTTTCTCTCCGTAAGGACACCCACAATGCACCTATCAAGGAGGATTATCCGTTATACATATATCGGATTACTACTATAATTAAAGTGCAAGATGTTCCCATTTCAGTCAATGATGATAAATTATTTTTTTATGACAAACAAAAATATATAAAGCTACACTTGATTCACCACTCTGTTTTCAAGCAAATCATCTAGGTCAATATTTCCCCTTTTTTATAGAGGTTTCTGTTTTGTCTGTCCATGTATGTTTCATATCAGTATGTAATTGTATTTGAATGATGACAATGCTTAAACAAATGTTTATGGTGATAAGGGATGATTTAATTTGATTTGACAACCTTAAGTGTTGAGCCAATTCCAGTCTTGGTCGGGGAGGGGACAGCAAAGCAGAGTTTCTGACAGCCGCCATTGTTGTTGTAGCAGGGATGGCTGTTGTCTGCATCCTGTTCGCTCTTGGCGTACACCTTGACTCCGTACAAACGGTTGTTCTGCGACTCTCGCACCAGGATCTCCTCCTTGTCTCCGCTCAGTTTATGCAGCCGGATGATTGCGTCCAGTCGCCAGTCTGTGATGTACATCCAGTCTGCGAGAAACCAAATGTGTAAATTAATAAGGTCGACTGTACAAATTTGCTTACATAATGTACAAAGTAGTAAATAAACTAGTGATATGTGGCAACATCCATGACTGCTGCCATTTTGTAAACTCTCAATCACTTTATCTACAATTGAAATAGTCCCCCCAAGTGACGAAAGATTGTGTGTTCAGTGTGTCTTCTATAAAATCTATGGCCTACCTTCACTTCTTCAAGGTAAGCTAGCTTTCATCCTTCTTATCCTAAAATTTAAAATTCTGGCATAGAGCCTTTCCTTAAAAAAAACAAAAAAAAAAACAATATGTACAAGCTCAAGTGGGTGCACAACAAAACTTACCATTGTAGATGACAATTGAGAACGGATGTCGGATAAGTCTACTAGAGATCGTCCGTACGTCTGACCCATCCAGATTGCTGTGCTGCACATGATCCAGCAAAGCGTCACACCAGTAGAGACGATCTGCTCGGAAGTCCACAGACAGTCCGTTGGGCCAGCCGAGAGTCACGTTACGGAATACTATGAGGTTACTCCCGTCAGTGTGAGCTCTGCTGATGTTGGCAGGTCGATCCCACTCCGAGAAAAATATGAAGCTGAAAAAGATAGGTATATGAAAATATGCATGAAAAATTTTATTTTATGTATTTAAGAAGTGCATCTACAATAAAGTAACAAATACTTGGAGGAAAAGCTTGTTAAATAAATGTACATGTGCATTAGATGAGTTTACACAGAATAAGTGAGAGTTAAACACTTTTTGTGACAACCACGTATATTTATATTTGGTGTGATTTTTAATGTTTGTAAGGAAAACAAGACTTTGAATTGATTGCAAAAATGTTTCACAAAGGTAATTTAGGAGATTTGTGAGACATGTTGTATGTTTTTGTTTTCCCATAAACAGCTTAAAATGTTCACAACAATCACATACACTACGTAACATCACCCACTTTAAACGTAAAAGCTTGTGAAAAACCAGAAAAATATCAATTATTAAAGCTTTAAGGAGACAAAGGACAGAATAAGCAAGCTTGATGTAATTGAGGTGTTCAAACAATTTTCAGACTGTACACTTAAACATCAAATCAAGCAATCGTCAAAACAAATAACTAATCATTTTTTTTCAACACTAACCCTTTATTGGGATGTACAACTATAGCTCGCGGCCTCTTGAGATTCTTCAGCAGTGTTCGTCGGAAGGTGACGTTGCGAGTGCTCAGTACATTGAGTGTGCCTTTGCGACTGTCGATATAGTATAGGTTCTTGGCTACCCAGTCAACTGCTAATCCCTCCACTCCTTCGTTCTGTGAGGCGAGGACAATCTCTCGACCTGGGAAACAGACAAATTTAGCTGACGGTAAAGTGTTTCAAACCCAAACAAGGAATACTTGTAAACAAAATGAAGTCTCATTGAGAAAGAGATTAAAAGTAGAAGGAGTAATGGGATTAAGTCATGCATTAAAGAGCCTTAAGTATGACCAAACTTGCGATCAAAATAAAAATAGAGGATTAGGTAGTGAATTCTGTCAGCTTGGAAAGGACAGCGCTGGATATTTTACCAATTAAGGTGAGCCTGGTTTAAAACATTAAAGGAAAAAGTAGGAAACACAATCTTGTAAATTACATAAATTTATTTTATATTTTTTTTATACAACAAACCTGTGCCATTGCGGTGTATCCTGTAGATAACATCTTGTAGAACGTCAGAGTAGTAAATGTAGTTGTCACTAGCGTCAAAGTCTAGCCCGACAAAGCGAGCACGTCGGGACACGTAGGGGAGCATCGCATCGCTGAACCCTTCTACCACCGGGTCTATCACTCTACCCTTGATGAACCTTTGTTGGGAGTACAGCAGGAAGTCTTCCACCACTGATGAGAGAAACAGATGGTTTGAGCATGTTTCAAATTTGTTACTAATTAATTGTAAGAAATCGAAAAAGGATATTATATTGATAGCGTCAAAGTTTGAATCAATTGCAGTTGAGATTGTGACTTTAAGGTTGTGTGTTAGTGTAGAAAGTTTTTATTTTTCTGTTTTTATAATATAGGAGGAAGAGCAGACTTAATTTAATGTAGATGCTGATTTTGACATTACTTAACTCGCATTTATACAACTTAATCCACACAACAGTAATGTATTCTGAGCTATATTGAGATAAATATATTATTTTAAACACTAGTACTGAGAAAAGTCAGTAACTTTTTAATGGTTCGAGATAGGACCACCTGTCACTAATCATTAGACTTAAAAAATTATCCTGGCTAAAGCTGATGAACAGCTGATCTTAGTCAGTAACAAAGCTATACAAATCATCTCACTCAATTCAATACTCATCCTTCACGCATATATGGGTTAAAATATGCACCCAGATATCATCCCTATTTCAATTGATAGTGTCAATAGTGATGATAATAATAAAAATATCTTAATTGTTAACTTACGGTTGCAGTTACGGAGATCGGACGACAGACGGTAGCCGATGTGACATGCACAACGGTAGCCAAGACCTCCTTCTTCTGAGCTGGCCGTCACAACACACATGTGTTGGCAACCTCCGTTGCGAGTACCACAGGGATTGCGAGCTGAAACAGTCCCGAGTGCAGGACAGAAGCAGTAGAGATAAGAAACCACAAAAAAACCAGTAGAAAACGCACTTGGGTTTGGATCTTGGTAGACCGATAGCAATAGTAGGTTGATAGCAAATACATGAATTAGATGTACATAATGTATTTTGGTAAAGGAAATGAGTAACAAACTATATCACTTTTGAGAAATTAAGGTTGGCATTCAGTTCTACGGACATTGGTATGTACACAGCAAGATAATATTTTTACAGTAGGATTACATAAAATGAGATCAGAACAGTAAAATATAACTAAACAAGGGGGCCCCTTACCTAATTGCAAATTTTTAATAGGATTGAATACTTTTTTAGGGAGGCAAAACGAATCTGATGCAATACCGGACAACACAATTATTAGGTGAGTAAAACTACTAGACTAAATTAAATATGTTTATTTCAGAACTTAATTAGAATCTGACTGTGGTTAAACATTCAACTGAACAATAATTTGTTAAATTCTCTTAATTCTTTGAGAAAATCTCTTTGTAATTTTTTCTTAGATTTCTCTTGCTCAAGATTCTTAAGAACATTGTGGTTACTCACCATGTCTTTGTACCAGTGTGTCAACAATCTTCACCGCCTTAGGTTCTCGCACCTCTTTGTTCTTGTAAACGACCTGGATGCTGTTGGCTCCATCGTACTTGTCCACACTCATAATGCCCTGCTTGGTGCCGTCCGACCAGTAGATGCGGTTCTCAAACACTGCCAGGCGCGATGGAGATGGCACTGGTTGTCCTGCAAGCCGAGCAAAATTTTTGAGTTTGGCAGATAAGGTTGTAAGGGGACTGAGCAGTTGGCTGAACTAAACTTAGCCTATAACGATGTTTTTTAAAGTATTGAATCTAATTTATAATTAAACTCAGTTTGCAATTAGAATACTTTGATGGAGCAGAAATGAGACTGAGTTGGTTTACTTGGTTAACTTGATGGTTAACTTGAAGAGATTAAAGTGAAGAATACCTTGGAGTCATTCTTTTGTTACTGAATCTGCAGTAATTACTTTTAAGATGAATGATATCTAAGGCAGGTTGAAATAAAAGCAGCACACAGTTAGAATGTGTGTAGGCTACACATCTTATGGCTACATAATACATTTGAACAATACATCTCATATAACATTATTTTAATTACTATAAATAACTTATTTATGGTTCAATTTTCATCGCCAGATACTCAATGGATGCGGAATTTTATGCTCTACAATTCCTTTACGATGTGTTTTTATGTAGGCTACACTACATTCATCTTTTTCCTCTCTGCATTTACAAAATTGGCAATTTGTGAAAAGGAAAAGAGACCAAAACCTTTTGGTTTTTCTCTTAAACCCTTTAATATTTTGGATATATGCTAGAGTTCAAATGTATCAGTCCTGCACCTAAAGTCACTTACCAGTAGCAGCACATGAAATAATGATGGGACCAACAAGTTGGTGGATTAGATATTTTAGAAGGTGGTTCTTACTCATATAACAAGTAGGCTAAGCCAAACACTACGAATACTATAATGTGTACCATGAACAAAAGAAGGCAATCCAAAATCAAATTACACCAACAAATAATTTGGACTTCGTCTTTTGTGCTGTTTTTTTGCCTTGTTTACCTTCGAAACATGCCTTTCAGTCTGATCAAGATCATTAAATGACAATATAACACAGTACCTACCTTACTGTATATGACAACATATCAGGCATTTGCTAATGGAAACATGGTGCCTTACAAGGTTTTAAAACAATCCAATTACCTCTGAGTATGAGGAACCTGTAGTTTCCGTTGTAGTCAACAGTCTCAATGTAGTCGAGTAGTGAGTCGCACCAGAATATACGTCTCGCAAGGATGTCGACGGCCACTCCTGACGCCTTGTAGGCCGCCTCGGACACGATAGCTTTGGTGTTGGTTCCGTCCATGTTTGCTCTCAGAACTTGGTTGCTGTCTGCTATGAACATGTATCTACAACCAACAAAATATCGGTGAGTTGATTGATTAATTGATTCTGTAGAGGCGGACCTTGTACTGTTCCACGACCTTGTCCACGTCAGCCACTGATGGGCTTTTTGCGCTCCCCACATGGAACTTCAGAGTCTGTCAAACCTGAGTTGCTAAATTAACTTCAGCATCTTATCTATGAGCTCCTCCTGAGGAAGGTGTCTACTTCTTGTCATTGCTCCAAGAGTACTGTCATATCAATTAGTAATTTATTTACCAGGTTAAGATGCGATTGAAGGTTCAGTCGTAAGTTTTTGTTTCGCTTGTTGTAGATAAACAAACATAAACTATTCATTTTGGAGCATGAAATTGTATAGCTTAATGTATGTGGAAACAATTTCTACTTCCTAGGCATAATATTAATATTAATTTATTTCTACAGTGAAACTAAAGACTTGAAAGTATTTTAAAGGAAATATAGATTATCCTCTGACATTGAGAGAGAGAAATCAGTTATACTCCAGCTAATAATTTAAGAAGTGGTATGGCTGTTAAATGTTTATAAAACAGCAGTTTTTAGTTAAATACATTTATTATAAGTCACAATCACAATATTTGAAATACGAAGTAAAGTAGCGAGTGATTCATTTTTTTGTAATTCATGGGTTTAGATTAGTTTACGATCGGTTGTCTGATTCAATAAAAGTAAGAGTTTGTATTACCCAGATGTAGGGTCCAAAGCAATATCTGCCGGGCTAGTGAGGTTGCTACTCAGGACAATCGCGTGCCATCGGCCATTCCACTCAAACACGTCCACCTTCTGTCCGACAGAGTCTGCCACATACAGCTTGTCTCCGACCCAGTCAACGGCCAGTGCCACCGGAGACCAAGTACCGGGCAGCTGGATGTCATCCGGCACTTGCTGGTACGGTGCTGGTCCCTTCGGTTCTTGCAGGATCTGGCTGTGTATCTGAAAAATGTCATTGTTTTAATAATGTTGTTTGCCATTAGCTGTATGGGCTATTAATTAACAGCTGTGTCTAAGGAACATGTCGGCCTTAGTCACTAACAAGACTACAAGATCGCGCCACTCATCCTACACTCATCCTTCACTCATATTTGGGTTAAAATACGCACATAGTGGCGTCCCCATCTTAAATAATTGATAATTGATAATAATAATAATATTTGACAAGGATTGAACAAAATGTACAAGTGAGATTTTAAGATGTTTTTACAAGTTTTGAAAATCCTGCTGAGTTACTTTAGTATAAACTATGACATATTTAAAGTCCACAATAAAAAAAAATTGATCCTATTGGTATTTGCATGGTTTTATTGGCAGCCAAACAAAGTGGAATAGCTTCTGAACTTCCCCAAATTTGAGAATAAATGAGTTGTTTTATTTATTTATTTTTTGGGGTTGTACTTTCCTTAAGTACAATGGCTGAACAATTACTTGTGGATCAATAGATTTTACTGGTTTTACATGTTTCACTGACTTCCCCTGTACACACTGTATCAATCATCCTATATTTTCCAAAATACACCATGATATATGAAAGTCACCAATTTGGTAAGGCAAAGCAGTCAGATAAAACATTTCAACCAAGATAAGTTGGTAACTAATAAAATAAATAGATTGGGAAACCGATTCAAAATTTCTTTCAAACCCTAACTTACCTTCTTCGTCTTTGTGTCAGTCCAGTACAGAAGGTTCTTGGTGAAGTGGTAGTCCAGTCCGCTGGCAGCCGTGGTGTTTGCGACGAGCTGCTGATTGCGGCCGTGCGAGTCCATGCGGTAGACAGAACGATCGTGAGCAAACAGAACCTGCAGATTTTCTGAGTTGGGAGACACACACCTGTAACGAACAGATAGGTAAGGAAGCGATGAAAATATTTGACAAAGTTTGATTATATGAACATACTTTCTTCACTTTTTACAAAACGTAATTAAAGTGGGGTTTCTAAAAGAACTTGAAAAGCAGCAGTGAGGGTGTATCTTGTCCGATGGTTGGATACCAACTCTGTGCCAACTATGGTAAGATACCAACTATGGAGATTTTGGTTCGGATTTAAAAAATCTCAAAAAGCAATTGGCTATGCAATAGGCTAGTGTTATGACATAATTGTCCAAAGCCTATTTAATATAATATGCTTTTGAACACAAAAAAAAACAAAGGCCACTGCATTGAAAACAGAGGACCTATCACAACCCACGAAAATTGTGTGTTTAGTTACATATTTTAGGGACAGAACTTGTAGAGTTAAAAATCATAAGAGATAATTTCTAAACAAAACCTAAAGAGAGTTTTAGCAAAGATATTACAGTAGATTCCCTCTTACCCGGACACCTTTTAACTGGACATCAATTCAACCGGACTACACTTGGCAAAAGTGACGTCTCTTCAATCAGACAATTTTTATACCAGCACATCGGAATGTATTTCTTTAACCAGAATGGATCGGTAGGAAGTGGAAAGTTGGTGATACTGAAACTACTTTTCTCGTGGAAAAGGTTTGAAACCAGTAATCACATGTCTAATTTTACTATTTTAAGGTAAATAATCATTATTGGCTTAATTGGCGTTCCTAATTTACATCACCGAGTTTTAGGATACATTTGATAACCGGAATAACAGTTATCTGGACTAGCCTCGGTCCGAAGGAGTCTGAATAAGAGGGAGTCTACTGTTTTTTATTTTTGCCGAAGAGGATTATTTAGGTATCTAGTTAACTATAAATCTATCTTTAGGTAGGAGAAGACATAGCATATGTTTAACTTTTTAAAAGGGTACCTGGATTTGTCGACCAGCTGGTAGCCCGGGAAGCAGGAGCAAGTGTAAGAGTCTTGGGTGTTTGTACAGCGTTGATCACAGAAGCCCCACTCTTCACACTCATTGTGGTCTGAAACAAATTGTTAATGATGACAAAGAGCATTAAACATTAACTTTTTCTTGACCATTTCAAGATTAATTAAAATAGATTAATTATTCCCAGCTAAAATTAACGTACCTGAAACATTCAATGGTACTTTTAAGTGGTGTCTAGCACTAGTTGATGGTGTCTAGGGTTATTTTTTTAATAATCCTGTGCTAGAGCTAAGTTAAAGTTAATAATTCACCACGCAAATTTAAGATCTCAAACAAGGTTGTAGCAACATATATTTCCATACCGGTACTACTCATCATCAATCGTTACACTTTCTAACTTCTGTAATAGCCAGAAATATTTAGTTAAATTTTGGAAGGAAATCATATTAGTTAGCAAATTTTGATTAAATAACTAACTATAGGTCGGCCGCTTAGAAAGCGACCTCCTCCAGCATTGGTTTAGCATTAGCGCGCAGGTCGTTTTCTAAGCGGCCGAACTATAATAGCTTTGATAGCAACTGGCCATTGAAAACAAATTCTTCAAAACTCATAGCTTTTAAGATTTAATTCCCGTAATTGGCTCTAAAATTTATATTACTTTGTAAAAATATTAGAAACATTTCAGTAAAGGAACTTTAAATAGCTTCGCTTTTGTAGTGGTAATCTATTAAAAGCATTTCTGAGATAACAAAAAGGTTTCTGGAGCAATAATGTAAAAACACCCTCTGCTACCCGACCACTCACATTAGCAATATGTATCGGACTCTTTTGAACTTTGGTATAAAAATGGCTGAGGCAATATTTAAAGACTACTTTCATCATCAAAGCTCGTTTTTTTTTTTTTTTTACCACAAATTTTACCGACCTTTTTCAACTTCAGAATCATAATTTTTTTATTAAAACAATTTAAGTGTTTCAATTTTTTTTTATTGTTATTACCGTAATTGATTATAATTCTTAAACCACTTAAGAAAAAGAAAACAATACTTACAATAATTATTTGAGTTAAATGGGTTTAAGATTTATAACACAAAAAAATCATATCAAAACATAAAGTAACTCTCTACTCTACATCTTCATTATATTATCACTGACACATGCAAATTCGCTATCTTTTTTCTACACAATTACTGGAAAATATTTATGATGAGGCAGTATATAAACAAATTATTTGTCTGAGTAGATGATTTGCTATAATAGTGCTAGCCTTTGAATCTAAAGGTTGCTTAATCCTAACCAGACGCAGATGCCAAAATTCACTGATCTATCCATTAATGTTGCTATCTGTAAGAAAAGGTCAACGAGGATAATAATATAGTAAGAGCAGAGCTTGAACAGTTCCCTTACTATACGTAAAACCATAAAAAAATACTAATATGGCATCAAATAATCATAAAAATACAAATTCTAAACACAAGTTGATTGAACTTAGTCTGAATCTTAAAGAATTGGATAACATTTCTTAGAATGTTTTACAACTAATCAAAAATTATCTTGATAGAAACCTGCCACGCCAACCAAACAACAAAGCCCAAAGAACGTCTCAAGTCGATGCTCTTCTTCTCAACCCTTGTAATTACTAAAACAAAACTCATTAAAACTTTTAAAATACTCCGAATTCTTTTACAGTTCCTCGTCACGAGTTTGTTACTTTGTTTATTAGGAAACGATTAAAACTCAGAACCTTATAATCAAAGGGTTGAGTTTTGAGAACTTTGATGGAAATTAACCGTTAACAATTCCTATTCCACTTGATATCAGTTGAGTGTTTGGTAAAACTTTGATATTATTAAGCGATACCTTTGTATGCTTTTGAACTCAGAACAGCATTGTTGTCGATTGGTCTCTTGAAGATTTAACCTTTTTTATATTCTGGGGCCTTGGCCTTATGTTTGGTGACGGCACAAATGTTGTTTTTCTACTTTTATACATTTTAATTAACTAAAAACGCAAGTTATTATATTATGTATATTTTACTTTCTTTGAGTTGTCGAATCCTTTTTTACATCCAGTAATTGGAATAATTAGTTAAGTTGTGTGAATTTCTAAGTCAGAAATTCAAAATGAATCTTAGAAATTTAATGGTTGTTTTAATGTCATTAAACCATTGATTTATTAATAAACTACTTGGTGGTTTTTGTTACTTACTACTTTATCTATATCTATACACAAAATAGATGGGTATCTTTAGTTTATATAGAAAGTAAACAATTAAAAATAGCCATTGACTGTGAAATTTGCTACAAAGATTATAACTTTTCTCCCAAATTCCTCTATCTATTGTTGGAGAACATAAAAAATAAGTGTTCAATTTTTAATCATAGTTTACTTGTATTTTTCTTCGAAACGCTCAAAGAAATTCTCACTTTGATTGATGAGCTGAAATTGGATTCCTTCAGTTCTGAATTAGACCAAACATTTTTCACTGTTTACAGTATTTAGATATGGCAAGTACCGGTATTGTGTTATTAACCTCATTTAAACCTTTCAAAATCAAAGTTGTTTATTTCTAATATGGTAAACTGATAAAAAAATACCAAAGAAATTCATAGAAATTTTAATCTAGAAGCAAATGTTGCCACATAAAAATATAAAAAGTATTTATTCCAAGCAATTTACTTGTTTAGAGATTAAAGATAATTGAATACCACATTTAACTAATATTGTAATACCAGTAATTAATATAGTCTTTTCAAATCTTACCAATGCATGTCCGAGTGTCGTTGGATATTTTACGCCCCTCGGGACAGTAGCAGGTTCCTCCGTTGAGCGAAGCTTGGCACTTGTACTCGCAGTTGAGCGAGGCACAGTTACTGGTTGCTGAAATAAAATAAAAATTAACAATAACCAAATAGGTACACCTACAACTAAATGGACTAAAAAACTGCATCTAACAAAAACAAAAACTAGCCAATTCAAGATGCAGAAGACTTTAAAATAGCCCCTGTAGCAAACATGTTTTATTTTATAAACTTGGACATTGTTCCTTTCCTTTCCTTCCTATACACTTATTAAAACTGAATTTTCTACTATGCAGAAAATGGAGGATTTAAAGGTGTGAATTAATGGATCCAAATAATATTCCGGTGGTTACCTATAAAATAATGAAATATTGATAGGCATTGATTGTATAGATGCAGCAATGTTTTACTATTATTAACCTACTGCATGGACAGTAGGTAAAGGGATATGCCTATCAAACTTGTCAAGGGATATGTCATGGTACTAAAGCAGGCTTAACATTTACCCTTGGACTGATATGTTTCAAAATGGTATTCAGCCAAAACATGAGACTCCCCCTGCTGTTGAGACTGGAACTAGGCTACTGATAGGTAGGCTAAGTTCATGTAAATCCTTAAGTTAATAACTTAAATTATTTCTGTATAGCACAGAAGACAAAATCTTTGCACAAAGAAATTGGACTCACAACATGCATTTTTCTCATCAGCTCCGTCCTCGCAGTCCTTCTTGCCATCACAGAGTTGAGCGCGCGAGATGCACTTAGGAACATTGTTGGGCCCTCCGCGAGGGCACAGGAACTTGTTTTCAGGACATGCAATCGCCGTGCAGTTAGCCTCGTCACTGCCATCCACACAGTCTCTGTAGCCGTCGCAATGGTAGCTCAGTGGAATACAGAGGGCGTTGGCACACCTGAACTGACCTCCATGGCAGGCTGGGAAATCTGTTACAAAAATTAAAATTGGTTAGGCCTAGGATAGGGTTATATATGTGCTTAATGTAGTAGAAGTAAACAGGAATAGGTTGATTTACAAAAAAGATGTTTCTACTAATCAGTTTATTAAAAAATAAAATTGAGCCTTAACAGCATCCATCCTTCTCAAATACATCCTGAATGAACACATCAAACCCTCAAAAAAAACCTTGAAACCAAAAAGCTATATTAGATGTATTTAACTTAGTTTTTTGAATTGGAAAAAATATATATATTGTGACGTGAATAGCCCTTCTCAATCTGTAGGTCTCCATTTCAAGTTAAAACAACAGAGATCTCCTTTCTTGAAAATAGCTATTTGTTTATTAAGAGCAGCTAGCTAAATGCTAAGTTTTAATATTGATTGAAATTATCAAATTGAAAGTTCAGATATACCAATATTTTTAACAGGTTCAGTTTCTTTACTGGGCTATAATAAAATCGATTTAATTTAAACTCTCGATTCCATTAGTAAACCTTCATGTGATTTTTTTTCATTTTCATCAAGTTTGGTTAGTTAATAGGGATAAATCTCGCTTAAAAAATCCCACTCCCCAGAGCCATACACCTACCATGATATTAGCATAGCCTAGTTAAGAAACTGTACCTCAGCAAATGACTGTTTGTGCTCAATAGCATTGACTTTATATATAAAAGTAAATGGTAATAGACACGCCATGAACTTATCAAACACACAGTTCAATTATAAAGTTGTACAGTATACCAAAAATAAAAATGTAATTTAGGTTATGTTTGTTTTTTATAGGTTATGTTGTTTGCTTTGCTTACCAGATGTTAGTGGTTCAAGTAAAAGTAACGTAAACGTCAACTCAACACTCAACAGTGAAATCAGCTGATTTAAAAAGTAAGTAAAAGAATAAATAGCGCTATCTATACTAATTTAATACCAAGCAGTTTTTTTGTGACAATTACTCCTCCGATCCGAAACTACTGAACCGATTGACATGTTTTTGGTGTCATTGGAAAGAGCGTAACGTGAAGTTGTGCAGGAAACTTTCTGTTTAGGGAAATAATTAGAGAGTGAGGCCCTGGGGCCCTTTAAAGTTTCGTATTTCTCCATAAGATTAACATGGTAAACAAAAACTGTTATGAAACTCCAGCTGTTGTTAAAAATTAAAAGTGAGAAGAAGAACATGTTAGTTGTAAACAGGCAATAAGTTTACTAATTAAACAGTTTGCTACAAACATTTAACCATATTTTTTTATCTATGATTTAACTTACTGACTTGGTTGAAATGAAGTATTTACTATTTGAATTTGGGTTGGCGTAAATATTACAATGGAAAAAAGCGAGAGAGCCTGGATAATTTGATATACTAAAAAGAAAACTGAATTTCTTAAGAACACTGTGCTGCATTTCTTAATCATTGAAAGAGCCGATTTGCAAACTATGAAAACATAGGATAAAAATAGAAATAATGTACAAGGCTATGAATAAGGCTATTTGTAGAAAACACTAAAAAACAAGATCAGCTTTTGAAATACGATACCTTATTTACAAGAAATTTTGATTACATCGATCTGTTAGGTACATCTTGAGTAATTCCATAATCTTTGAGTCGAATCTTTTAAGGTCATCAGAAATTATGACTGTTATTCGTTTTAAAATAACACCTGTAATGCTTAGCAATTGCTCGAATTCGAGCAACAGGTACACTACTATTTTAATATGATAAAATCTTCTATGCAACCTATTGTACTGTAAACATTAGAATAACTATGCTAAACAATGTAATAATTGTCAAATATTTGGAACTAACGATGTAATTAACCTAATATACGGGGCAAAGCTCCCAGCATTCCATCACCCCTTGACCCCTCGTATCTGCATTGACTAAATATACTATAATAAATATATTCTATATCACTGATTATGCATGAGGGAGATGTACAATTAATTATACATCTCCCCGAATGTATAGTATAACTATCAATGGCTGAGGTACGGCCGCCTTTAACTCCAGGCCGCGGCCTTCAAAGTGGCAACGTCGCAAGTGGTGTTGTAAGAGCTGTTTTGTTTGGAAGCAGCTAATGGTATTTTGTGTATTTACGAAAGATTGCTTACTAGACTATGACAATGTTGACTCCGCTTAAAATAGATTTTTAATTCATATTGTTTCGGTTTCCAATTCTGTATGTTTTATTTTCATTATTTTAATAAATTTATGTTTATAAATTTAAATTTAAATCAATAAAGTGCGAATTAATGAGCTGATATCACCCGTCTGCCATGTTATCTTATGGGACGTCTGTCACTAAACAACACCACTTGCGGCGTTGCCAATTCTACCAGGCCGGGGCCTGTAGTTAAAGGTGGCCGTGGCTGGGGCCCTATTTTTGAAATGGTTGACAGTTGAGTCAATCGTCAGCACTCAACTCAACCAACAACATGATTTGGTATTTTTGAAACCCAACAGTTGGGAAGCGAGTTGGGAATCACTAGTTGAGAGACTCGTGGTGGAAATGTAGAGCATACGACCGTCAAAAATTCAGATGACGTCATTTTGAACCAATCACAATGCAGAGTTCTTGCGGACTTCGATTTAACCTCTTCTTACTCTAAAATCTGGCAGCTAAATCTCAATCTGCCATATTTCGAGACACTGAGGTAAACTGTCAACTCCGATCTTGAGAGATTGAATTGAGATTGAGGTTATGTCTTGCTTAATCTTAGTGATTGCAAAGTACCTTAACTTAAGTAATAAACTAAATAAAGTAGCCTAATAAACTTAAGTATAAAAAATAAAATTTACTATGGATGTTTGTTTTAGGGTGTAGCTAATTATAAGTTTAGGCATAGGCTGCACTTTACTTTAGGTCCTACACTCATCCTGAATACATTATTATTTGCTTTCTTCGTCTCTATTTCGGAACACATGACCTTATTTTAGTTTCCTTCGTCGGTTTGTTTTATGTTATTTTTAATTGTTTTTTATTTAGGTTAAAGCGGCTATTTGCCATTGCACTGGAAGCATATCGTAACTTAAATTAATTCGATCCCTTTATTAGGTGAATGGTATTGAAACAAACTATGATATTGTTTCTCTCTACCACAATCTTTAATACCTTAAATCAAAATCATAGGTCTAATAACAATAATTATCTTATAATAAGTTCAATTAGTATGCCTAGTCTATTTCAAACATTCCAACAAGAATAAAACCCTTGATTAAATAGTCTATAGTATTGACACAGTAAATAAAATTAAAATGCGATTATTCTACAGAAAACAATCGCATAATTGGGTGCTAATACATTGACAACAAATACATAACCTCAAAATCACAATTAGTAAATTAAAGCAATAACAAAACAATATGGCGTCGTCTCAAAAAGAGTAATTTTTTGCCGAAAGAGAGGAAGAAGAAAGTGCAGTCAACCTCCACTCAACAGCTCGATAGGTGTTGAGTAGTTTTGGTTGTATAAGTCCACCGTCAACCGTTTCAAAAATACGAAACGATTGGAAATAGAATGACTCGACACTCAACTCAACAGTCAACCATTTCAAAAATAGGGCCCCTGAGGTGAATCAATGACTATATTATAGAGAGTAATCTCTACTCACTGCATCCCTCCTCATCGCTGTTGTCGCCGCAGTCATTGCGATGGTTACACTTGAGGAACGTCTCTACGCAGCGTTGTCCGTTGGCACAGCGGAACTGTGTTATTGCGCAGGACGTGCCGTGGTCTGCGCCGCAGCCCTCCTCGTCACGACCGTTGCGGCAGTCGTAGTAGCCGTCACACCGCTTCTCCTTGGGCAGACAGGGTCCTCCGCCATGCGCCTCTGAACAGTGGAAGTCGTCCGGCTGGCACTTGCGGTAAGCTGCGGAGAAAATTTGTATGTAAATCAAGGTTGAAAAATTAAATGTAAGTCTGAATCTATACACTAAAGATGACGGAATTTAATTTTAATCCTTTTGGTTAAAATTCTTGACATTTCAATTTATTAAAATCAGCTGATTTATTATGGTGCTATCAAATTAACAAATATATTTTTTTAATCAAGGTACCATTTTCATATGACCCTTCAAATAATTTTATAAAGAACTATCAACTAACACATTAATTAACATCTTATTTTTTTTGCACATGGCTAATACAAATAAACTCTATAAAATAATGAACATATCATCAGAAACCGAGATGCAATATCATCGTAATACAGAAAAAGATTGGATATCTATTGACAAAATGTCTGGCAAGAAATAATCCACTGCCATGAAATGATGGTGAATGGAACGTAAACTTTAATCAATCCAAGGACGATTGACTGGTACGGATCGGTTCACCCAATCATACCAGTCTGATATCATACGATATGTTACGACAAGTAACAACCAAAGGTTCGTGGATACGACAGGTTTCCATATCACGTGATCGATATCAATGTGGAAATGTCATGAGCATCCATACACCTTACGTATACTAGAGGGTTAATAAAACATGTGATTTGATGTGAGGTTATGATTTGTAATATGTTAAAAATAAAGAGGACTTTATTCAATTTTACTTTGATATTTAAAAATAATATGTTTGACAAATAACAAAAGGGCCATACAAGTTTTAGCATTTTTAATTTTCTAATCATAACACATCTCCTTACAAATTCTGTAATGTCAAGAAATTATGAAGATGTAAAGGATTATTGTTCATGCACTAAACACAAACGTTATGTTCTGCAAGTGTAATTTAAGTATTTCTTGTTATTATATAAAAAATAAATTTTATCAACAATGTTAGTTATAAATATGTGATCCAATTGTTTGAACCTTGTCCTATGGGCCTATAGAAACACCTATTGAGTAAAAAGATCGTTTTGTTTGGCATGGAGAATAAACTCTGTTTTGGAGTTACCTCCACAAAATTATCATTTATTTAAATAGAAAATCCGTTTGAGTTATAAATACAAACTAGCTTCTTAAAGAAGCACAAAATTCACATGTCAAACATAAACCAATTTTATTGTCAATGTGACTCATGTTCATGATTTTTTTGTAGGATTTTTGTATTTCAAAATGAACATGTTTAAAATCATTAATTATTTTTAAGAACTAAATGACACTGTAGAACTCACTGCAGTCAGCTTCGTCCGTGCCGTCCACACAATCCACGGTCATATCACACCGGTGTTGTGGTGGTATGCAGTACGTCTTGTTCCATACATACTGACCACACGATAACTGACCACTCTCACAGTCTGGGGGAGCTGCAACAACGATGATATGTTAAGTGAATGTAACAATAATGAGATGTAAAGTGGGTGTAACAATAATGAGACGTTCAGTGAATGTAACAATAATGAGATGTAAAGGGGGTGTAACAATAATGAGATGTTAAGTGGATGTAACAATAATGAGATGTAAAGTGGGTGTAACAATAATGAGATGTTAAGTGAATGTAACAATAATGAGATGTAAAGTGGGTGTAACAATAATGAGATGTTCAGTGAATGTAACAATAATGAGATGTAAAGGGGGTGTAACAATAATGAGATGTTAAGTGGATGTAACAATAATGAGATGTTCAGTGAATGTAACAATAATGAGATGTAAAGGGGGTGTAACAATAATGAGATGTTAAGTGGATGTAACAATAATGAGATGTTCAGTGAATGTAACAATAATGAGATGAAAAGGGGGTGTAACAATAATGAGATGTTAAGTGGATGTAACAATAATGAGATGTTCAGTGAATGTAACAATAATGAGATGTAAAGTGGGTGTAACAATAATGTAATTAATATTAAAGTAGAAGTGACAATAATAAGAAATATTTCTTATTACAAAAGAAATATTTTCTTATTATTTACTTTACATCTCATTATTGTTACATTCACTTAACATCTCATTAACATGTATCTCGGCTATATAGCCGATTTAGCGAGAAAACGAAGAGTACCTAGGTAGATCTAACAACAATATTTTATGTGAAGTAGAAGTAACCAAAATTAAGTGTATGGATTTAACAAAATTTGGATGTAAAAAGTTCATTCAAAAAAGAAATGTATACTGGAGATGTAACAGTAATGGAAATTAGGTATAAAACAAATGTAATTGGAATGAGGTTTACATAAAACAACAATGTAGTCTAATGTGCATGAGAATAACATCAATGCAATGTACTAAACTTTGTGTTTTTAGTGGACCAATCCCATAAGGATTATAAAATCTACCGAAGCCGTGAAAACAATAAAATCTACAGGGTATGTATAACAATGAAATGTGCACTCACATTTATAAATAGTAGTTGTACATAAAAGTCATACAGCTGATATGGCATGAAAATATGTAAACTAATAAAAGTTAAAATGTTTTTTCAAATATTACTTTTACCATTAAATATCATACCAATAAAGAGTATCAATAGAACACAGACAAAAACTTCATCACATATAAATAAGTAATATGTAAATGAATATAGAATCTCAAGAATCAAAGTTTCATATCAGTAGTGGAGAACTGCCGGTTTTACCTCACTTTAGACACGTTTTTCCCATGTTATTCTTATGGGGATCATTTTTTGGCCACCAATTCCAAAAATCCTGATCTTTGCCCAAATATCCCTATAAAATTGTCAAACCTTATTTCTTAGTTATTCCCTATAAATATATTCGATATTAAGCAAAAAATAAAAAAAAACTAATTATTTCATTTATTGACCCATGCATGTGTATATGTATAGTAGTATAGTTTGTCGCCGCCGTTTTTTGCGGCACGAGGTTTTTGGGCCAACTCCCCGCCCATGCCTAATTGCTAGTACATTTACCATTCCCCTTTCTAGTTGATGTATTATATTTCTGTCTTATCTTATCTATATATTAGACGTATGAGTTGTTTAATATTGTTAGTATAGTTTGTTGCCGCCGTTTTTTGAGGTTCGACATTTTTGGGCCAACTCCCCCCCTCACCCCTCACCCCCTCACCACTCCCCTCTGCCCCATGCACAATTGCTAGTACATCTACCATTCCCCTTTCCAGTTGATATATTATATTTCTATTTCAAAATCATGTATGTGCGAACTCGGCTCATGGCGTGGGTGCGATCCTGACTCATGGTTGTTTCTTGCCTCTAGTGGTGACGTGGTGAAAACGTCACTCACTTGGGCTTGCTCCTTGCTAGTCTTGGATCTGTTGAAGTAATTTTTTACAAATTTTTAATTTCTAGCTGAAAATTTTTAAAATTTCCAAAATTTTGAAATTTTCGAAAAGTCTATAAATAGAAGTGACACAAATTTTTTTGTTATATATAAAAATGAGGCCCACCTGTCAACACTGCTCCGTGTCGCTCACCACCAAAAGTAATATGATTCGTCACTACAAGGTAATTCATCAAATGAAGGTGAAACTGTGCAAAGTTTGTAATTTAATCTGTGATAGTAACATTGCTCTAAAATCGCATATATTACAAAGTCACAAGAGTTGTAATTTCTGTAAAACGAATATTGTTGGACATTTTAAAAGACATGTTAATTCTTGCATGAAATGTCCATACACAATGATTAAATTTGTTGGTGAATCGATTAGAACTGACCTTGAAAATACTCTGAAGTCTTGTCCTCTACCGATAAAATGGACTTTAGTTAGGAGAATCAAATTTATAAAATATTCAATGGATCAAAATGGTAAATTAGTTAATGAAAAAGAATGTATAGCAGATTTTCGAAGTCTTACTACCTTAACTATTGAGAAGAGAGATTTAAAGCCTCAAATTGAAAATGCACTTTCAAAGATTGATGCTTCCATACACAAATATCAAGCCCAAGGCAGTGGATGGATATATGACCATACTAAATATTGGCAGTTGCATGTTTACAAGTATAAACCCCTAACTCCAAAGTCATATATCCCCACACCAAAAAGTATTCAATCAAAACATGCTGTTTTAAATATAAAGAATTCTGACAATAGATGCTTTCTTTGGTCGATTTTAGCAGCTTTACATCCAAGGTATGCAAACAATGCTGAAAGGGTTTCTAATTATGTACCCTATGAAAGTCAGTTGAATATGACAAACATAAAGTATCCTGTGAAAATATCTGATATAGATAAATTTGAAACACAGAATGATATAAGTATTAATGTATTTGGGGTTGAATATGATAAATTTATATATCCATTAAGAACGACTAAACTAAATAGTAATACTCACATAGATTTATTATTATTACAAGAAGGTCGTAAATCACATTATTGTTTAATTCGTGATTTTGATAGGTTAATGTTCCACTCTACAAAACATGGCCATAAGCAGCATTTTTGCAAGTTGTGTTTACAACATTTTTAAACTAATGATATATTAGAACGTCATGTAACATATTGTAAAAACTTTGATGCTCAACGAGTGGAAATGTCTAAACAAGATACATTACAATTTAAAAATTATAAATATCAACTTAAAGCCCCATATGTAATTTATGCAGATTTTGAATGCTTTATAAACTCTAATATACATATTCCATCGGGATTTGCATTTGTCGTAGTAAAAGATTCAAAAATTATTTCTGAAGAGTTGTACAGTGGCACAAATGTTATGGATGTGTTTTTTGAAAGATTATTTCAGGCTTATGATTATATTAAAAATCAAATGGCAATATATATTCCTCTTCAAATGACCCCTGAGCAAGAGGCATCTTTCCAAAACTCAACACACTGTCACATTTGTGAAAAGCCCCTATATTTTGATAGGGTGAGAGATCATTGCCATTCCTCTGGCCAATACCGTGGAGCTGCCCACAATGATTGTAATTTAAATTATAAAGTAACAAAGAAAATACCAGTATTCTTCCATAACTTGAAAAATTATGATGGTCACATAATAATGCAACATTTGGGAAAGTTTAATAAACGTAAATTAAATTGTATAGCTAAAGATATGGAAAAATATATATCATTCTCTGTAGATGATTTAGTATTTTTAGATTCATACAACTTTCTGTCCCTTCCATTATATAAATTGGCTTCCAATTTGAACACATTTAGATTCATACAAAATCCACTACTACAACGTAAAGGTGTATATCCCTATGAATATATGACGGGACCAGATAAGTTTGCAGAGTCTCTACCCCCAATTGAAACATTTTATAGTACTCTAACTAAAGAACATATCTCTCCCAATGAATATGAACATGCTAAAAATGTATGGACCCATTTTAATATAAATAATTTACAAGAATATCATGATTTATATCTTAAAACAGATGTATTGCTACTGGCTGATGTGTTTGAGACATTTAGAGACCTGTGTTTAAAAGATTACAAACTTGACCCTGTACATATGTATTCACTTCCTGGACTTACATGGGAGGCCTGTCTTAGAATGACAGGAATAAAATTACAATTATTCAAAGATATTGACATGCATTTGTTCATAGAAAGTGCGATTCGAGGAGGAGTCAGTATGATTTCTACACGTTACGCTAAAGCAAATAATAGATATATGGGTGAACACTATGATCCCAATCAAGAGAGTGTCTATTTAATATATTTAGATTGTAACTCGCTATACTCCACAGCTATGTGCGAGCCACTGCCTGTGGATGAATTCTGTTGGACTAATGAGATAGACTACAAATATAATCAAAATGATGAGTTTGGATACATTTTAGAAGTTGATTTAAAATATGATAAAAGCTTACATGATTTACATAATGACTATCCATTAGCACCTGAGAAAATGAATGGCAAATTAATACCTAATTTAAATGACAAAACTAAATATATTTTACATTATAAAGCATTACAAAAATATGAGGAATTGGGTTTGATTGTTACAAAATACCACAGAATTTTAAAATTTAGACAGTCTAAATGGCTTGCACCCTATATTAATTTTAATATTGAAAAACGAAAATGGGCTAAAAATGATTTCGAAAAAGACTTTTATAAATTGTTAAATAATAGTCTCTTTGGTCGAACAATTATGAATCAACGAAAGTTTCGTGATATATATCTCAAGGATGAGTCACTATTAACAAAATATGTCACTAATCCAAGATTTGATTGTAGCAAAAAGTTTGATAACAATTTACATGCTATACATTTAAATAAATTAGTTGTTAAGTTTAATAAACCAATATATTTAGGAATGACCATTTTGGATATAAGTAAAGTAATAATGTATGATTTCCACTATAATTATATGTCAAAATTTAAGAATAAAAGATTTCTAATGACAGATACAGATTCATTAATGTATGCTATAGTT